TTGTATTGTATTGTATTGTGCCCTATGCACAGTAACGTCATTATTCATTGCTGATCCCTCTAATTGTATTACATACTGAAAAAAATGAATCTATTGTCTTGCTCAATTGTTATCTCTGCTTTTGTTCATATACTCTTTGTGTGATGCACTTTTGTGTAATATAATATGTGCTTTGCCTTCTTGTGATGCATCGTAATTTAAATTTGCTCTTTTTTTTTTTTTTTTCTTACAACATTAGTTGAGAGAGTTGTAGTTGTACTAGTAATTATTAATATTCTTCTCCATCAGTATGGGCTTAGCTCTGAAATAGTTGCTTCTCGTGTCTTCTTGTGTCTTGTGTCTTGTGTCATGTTTTTCCCTGACTTGTTTCATTTATTTTGTCCACTTTTTTTTTTCACCCCTATTTTCCCGAAACTTGTTTCAACAAACTAAAAATTAATCCGCTTATTATTATGCATAAAGCATTACTCAATATGGAAATGGTTTTCTTTTTCTTTTTTATGTATGTATGTATGTATTGTATTCGTCTCAGCAAACTGCACGCTTCATACTTCTGTTTTGTCACTGATCGTGAATTATACGTAGACACAGCATGAATATCTCTCTCATCCACCCTTCCTGTTGAATGTTGATTGATTTCCATTACTATTTCTCATTACTATCACTATGTAGAGCTGCATCTATATTATAAGTTCCATTTGTTCATTCTCGGTAAAAATGCTTAACACACCAATAAGTATTCAATTTATTACTTTACGATTGAACTAAAAAAGCTTACTTTTTCTCTCTATTGTCATTTTCGTTTTTTAATTCCGCTCCCCACCAAAGAAAAAGTTTATTAATCAGAGTTTCGTGATGATGTGGTTCTGCAACTAGTGGTGCGTTTCAAATGCGATTGTATATTATGACTAACCACATCGAAAGGCAAGGTTTTGATCTCCACTTTGGCGCGGAATCCCCCCATCAATTCAATGTTCCTACATCACACTTCTCCGAGGTACTGGTCACTTTGGCAACAAAACTCAGACTTTCACAATGATGGAACCGGCCTTAACAATGAAAAATCTTGAGGTGTATATTTAATTACTTGCTAGAATAGTCTTATTTGAATCATTGTAACAGCTTCTCTTCATTACTACCTTACCTCACATTTTGCAGATAAGTATTCTGCCTCTTCAGCTCTTTGCATGTACATCCTACAGTATTTTTGCGACATTGCAATTTTTTACGACACTGAAAAAAAATTGCGAATCTTGATGCGGATTTGTGATGCCCCATAATATAAGACATCATCCACAACAGTTTCATCAACAACAACAACAACAACAACAACAACAAGAAAATGCTACGACTACTTCTCCAAAACCCCTCTTTTACCCGTGTTCCTAAATCATTTATCAGAAGCCAGTCCAATATCGCACTACCATTCTTGTACAAACTAGAACCAAAATGTCGATCGTGTGGGATCAAATTGCAAACCGATGATGCATCGAAACCCGGCTACTTTATCCAACCAAGTGGAACAACAATCACTGGTGCATCCAGTAATGAAAAGAAATATACCAAGAATGAAAACCAGGTGTTTGAGAAGTTGAGTCATACTTTACCACCAGAGGATCAAGAGCTATTATTGAGCAACACATTCAATGCTGGTCCCGCTCAACAACGAGAAAATAAACAACAAGACAACGTTGGCACCGTCACTTCCTCATCGCTCAATAACAAAGGAGAAACTGTGCATGAAGTTCTTGAGAAAATATACACTGTTGAGCCAGATGAGAATAGTCACGATTGTATACGATGTCGCCAAATGACATACAATTCCAGCTACGAAATGGACAGCGAAAACTACCCCATTGACCAACTACATCACGTCTTGCACAATATCCCCATTGAAGCGCCACTAGTTTACTTGTTCAGTGCCAGTGACTTCCCCATGGGTATAAACCCCGACGTGTTTCAATTTCGCAAACCACAAGATGTGTATTTTGTCATGACCAAGACTGATAAACTTATTGAAAAGAGTAAAGAAGCATCGCAAAACTATACTCGGCAGTTCATTCAGGATTACTTGCATATACAGTACAAAGTTCCTCGTAGTCATGTGTTTATATCGCTGGGGAAGAATAATTGGTCAGTTAAACAATTGTATCATTTCATACCCAATGGGGCTTATATTATCGGAAATACCAACTGTGGTAAATCCACACTAATCAAGAGTTTGTTACTCGATGAAGAATTGCAAAGGAAAAAAGACCAGCAGTTGAACAGTAAAGCTGATAATGTGAAACTACCACCAAGTTTAATCAACAAGATGAAACAGAAATTTGTTTCCTCATTCTTGACAAAAATCGGCCCTGGTATTTCATACTTACCTGGGTTCACTCGTGACATAATCCCAGTTGAAGTGGGGTTGAAATTGGTTTATGATGTGCCTGGCTTCAATACCCACTTTGAAAAAATGCATCAACTATACGACTCATTCAAGTCCCCCAAAGATATCCATCGATTGATTAAAGGTGCGCTGACTTTTGAACGTGGTATTTACAAATCACCATACATCACCATCCGAGGACCACAAGTTGTCAATTTTGAAGGATTGGGGTTTTTGCAATTACCCAAAGGTGGGATTTATCAATTGCGCAATGTCACCAATTTGCAAACACATGTATTTAGTGATATTTTGAAAACCAAGAAAATTTTGCAGAATGGAGTACCACGAGCATTGGAGAATAAATTTGCCATTGACGTACTGGGCAAAACAATTGAACGGGATTATGAAAAGTTCTTGGTACCGCCATTTTATGGCACTGTGGATTTGGTATTTGAGAATTTCGGATACTTGAATTTGAAACCGGTTGGGAGTAAACGTACTAATGAGTTGTTGAAATTGTATTTGTATCCTGGTGTCAATGCCATTTTGAGAGATCCTATTACTAATTATATTGCCAAGACGTTCAGCGGAAAGGACAAGCATGGAAATGTGGTTGATAAGAGTGAGTATTTCAAAAAAAGTAGGTTCCATTTGATTAGATACAAGGAGAGTCATCCGATATGCTCGCAGTTGTGTCCACTAGAGAGAAAGGAGACGTCAGAGGTCGATGAAGGTGTTGATGTGGATATGGATGTGGATGTTGAGCAAGCGATAAGGAAAATTCGGGATGAGGAATATAGACGTTTGAATGAGTGGGTGCGAGAGGGGCGGCAAGAGACAAAGAGGCAGAATAGGAGCACGATGAGTGGAAATGATTATGGGCGTGGATTGGAGAGTGAGTACAGCTACAATAACGAGTATGATATGGATGAACGGACAAAGTTTAACTTTTGGAGAGAGTGAAACAGAAAGGAGAAGTAAAAGTTTGTAAATATGTATTTGTTTGACATGCGCGACAAAAATAGAGAACCAATTTTCTGCAAACAACGAGGCTTTCAAGTAAGCACATCTCGCCGAATTGTAGCGAGACTCTTTTCACCAAGTGGTTTAGTACATTGGGCGGTATCATGCACTTTCCGTGCATGGCCATTGCGCTGTTGCTAGTGTTGGTGCTATTGTGGTTGGGTAAGAAACGGGGTAGTGTATTGTTTACAATTATAACCAAATTGGTAAATAAATTGTCAAAAGACGCGCGTCTTTGTGTGATATTCTGCAGCAGCCTTCTTTTCTTTTGTAATTGAAAGGAGTTTGTTAGTGTTCCATTGTGTAATCACATACTATTTATAAATGTGTATATATATATATATATATACATGGAGATATACTTCAGTAGCTAATTGCTAAAGGTTGGATCTTTCTGTCAGAAGCAAGTCGACATCAGTACCACAAACCACACTCGCTTAGTATACAGCACCACGCACCGCCCACTTCATAACGTCATATCTTTCTCCACCAAGGAATTTTTCAAGAAAATAAGTACCTCACCCACCTACGGTTGTTGAAGATTGTTAGGTACTGACACCACTATCAATCCTTGACCAACAGTCCTCTTTGCTACAGATTCACTTAATACCCCATTTTAAATCCTCATACAATGTTGCGCAGTCAAAGTATTTCAGACATCAATGAAAAGAAAACTTCTTCAACTTCAAAACTATTCAGTGCATTCAAGAGACTGAGCAATGGAGGAGCTAATTCCATCTTGACTGATGTACAAGAAAAGAGGAAATCACGTCCTTTGAGTACGAGTATGTCTGCTCTTAATTTGAAAATATCATCGCCCATTTTGAACGAATCAAAGGACTCCGCCACCATCACTACTACGTCTACTTCAGCTTACGAGAATAAGGAGAATGTCAGTCACGGTCATAGTCGTAGACACCACAATCACCTGCATCAACAGCCGCAACAACAGCAACAACAACAACAACTGTCGCAACAAAAAGATACCAAATTGAAGACAAGATCAAGCACACCAAATCTTAACCGTCGGTCATCGGCAATCTTCTCCACCTCTGATGCCAAAGGTGGTGCTGCTACTGCTACTGCTACTGCAAGGATGCTAAGAACTAATAACAGGTACTCATTTATTGCAGGGAACAACGTTCAGGTGTACAATGGTAAACCAGATGCTACTGACGACACTACGCATCAAGCAAGACATTCCAGTGTTGCTAGTAGGGCAACCACTGCTACTGCTACTGCTACTGCTACTGCTACTGCTACTTCACCCACCACCACAGACATTAGTCCAGTAACAATCTCCTCACAAACGGATTCCATATTTGATCAATCTTCAATCAATTGCGTTGATGATGTTGTTGACGACAGCGAAGATGGCACCTCTTCTGACATCTCATCCATACATACAGCAGAAACAAACAACGCAACATCATCTTCAAACTACACATACGCTAAACATTCCAGTACAAAGAGAGCCAACATGCACACCAGCAAATCCAAAACCACACAATCTATACCCGAATCTCCATCGTTCATTTCTACAACAGCGATTCCTAAAAAAATACATCGGACTACCAATCTTTACAACTTGAGTGAGTTCATCAATAGGCTAAGCGTAGATGCCGCTGCTGCTAATATTGCGTTGCCCATACAGGACCAACTGGATCAGATCATATCCATAAGTAATCGACAATCAATTGAGTTTGAGAATAACCAAATCAAGAAGTTGAATCATGACTTGAATACCCACAAATTGGATGGAGGTGATGAGAAAGTCGATAACGATTTCGATTGTTTTCACTGCCAGGTCAAACTAGTGGAAAATATCCTTTTCTTGACAACCACCAGCCAGAATAAGAACCCCAGTGCAGATATTGCACCTGCACGCAATTTCGATTTGGATCACGATGAGTACGTAGACATATTGCAGAATGAAGCTTACGACTTTGAGCCGCTGATGCCGTTGGACTCCTGTTTCGAATCGGATGGCGACCAATTATACCTAATGTACTGATGTAAAAAAAAAAGAAAAAAAGGAGATAACTTTTATGCTGTATACGTTTTATAAGTTGTATACTCCCTGTCTTTTACTTATGACTTGAATGAAACCTGAAATACATATATATATACCCTACAACGAACCGAAGAGCCCTACTTAGGTTGTCCATCGAACAACAAAATTAAAAAAAGGGGAGAAAGAATGAGAACCACCATCGGGGGTCCATCATAAAAGACAGTATACAACATTGATCTGGAGCCAAAGAAAAAAAAATATATGCGGCTTCTGTGGCTCGAACACAGTACCTCCAGATCTTCAGTCTGACGCTCTCCCAGGTGAGCTAAAGCCGCAGAGCAAAGAGTAAAACCCACGCCGGGATTCGAACCCGGAATCCTTTGATTAGAAGTCAAAAGCGATAACCATTTCGCCACGCAGGCTGTTCTCAAGATTGGTTTCTCGGCTGTTTAATAAGGTATCTAAAGTTTTGTGATTTAACTTCTTGATGTACTTGTTAAAATGAGACTACAGGGGCTGCATGATGCGTGTAGAGCTCTTTTGATTCTCATTGCTTAGTTTAAGTTTGTAATCTTAATTGGCGCGCTGAAAAATTGAAATTTTACTTCGTAGGTTTTTTTTCTTTTCTCATCAATTGGCTTCAAAATGCTGCATAATTATCAATTTGCAGCACCTCCTTTCTCTTGGAGCGGATCAGCGGAATCTTCCCGAAGAGGCTAACCTACTTATCGATCGCAACAACCACATCCATGCACTACTCCTTATGCAAGTTACAAATCATACATTTCTCACATTACACCTTACACAATCTACATCTTATCAATCTACATCTTATCTTTGTCCGCGTCTTTCTTGTCACTATCGAGCTCACCTTCTTCAAGCAACTCATCATCGGAATCCTCAACATGCATATTAGCATGGAATCTCTCTGGACCGAAATACATGCAGACTCCCATGTAAATTTGAACAGCAGCAGCAAAGATACACATGACTTTACCATAGTCGTAAACACCAGGAGCAGCACCTGGAATTGGGAACTCTTCACCAAGACGAGCTTCAATAGTGGCACTAGCAGAACTGACCAAGTTACCCAATTGATATGCCAACCCGGCCAACAAGGTTCTATTGGCTTTGTTAACCATTTCCAAAAGATAAATAGGACCAATACCCCAAGCACCCATAATACCACCATTCAACAAGACATAGGCCCACCAGTTCTGATCAGCATTGTAGAAGGATGGATAGACAAGGGCACAGCACCAAACCATACAAATAATCACAGTCAATCGTCTACCAAGCAATTCCGAAAAGGAACCCATAATGATACCACCAATCATACCACCGATATTACTGATCACAACAATAATTGTCCTCTTATCTATACCAACTCCAAATTGATTGGTGATCATAGTGACGTATAAATCTTGAGCACCATGGGTGGTAAAATTCCAACCACTGTACAACAAGACAAGGTAAATGAACAATAACCACTCGGTCTTCAAGGTTTGGAAAACACTGGTATCAATATACTTGTGCTTAACTTTATTCTTTTCATTGAATCTCTTCTTTTTGGCCTTCATTTTGAGAAAAACTGGCGATTCTGGAAGACAAAGTCTCCAAATAACCAACAAGACACTCAAACCACCACTAAACCAAAACAAACTTCTCCATCCTTCACCCTCTTTGTAAGTGTTGGCGAATGCTCGATAGAAAACCATTGCCAAAATGTAACCGAATGAGTAACCTGGTAAGAAGAAACCAGACAAGACTGATCTGGCAACAACGGGTTGAACCTCCAATGCAGTGACCATAGTAACAGGCAACATACTACCCATCAATATACCAAACAACGCCCTTACACCAAGGAACTGCTGATAAGTCTGAACCAAGCCGGTACCAATTTCAACAACCACAAACAATGCACAAAGAACAATAAAAGTCCATTTTCTACCATAACGATCAGAAGCAATACCAAAAATCACCGCACCAATAGATCTAAACATCAAAACCAAAGTCATACCCCAGGTGATATCAGTGACACTGACACCCAAAGTAAGGGCAATTTCAGGAACTGCCACCGAAACACAAAAGAAATCCATAGCGTCAATTGCCCATCCACAGTACCCACACAAGTAGAAATTCCATTCCATCCATGTCATTCCTCTCAATGCTGGAAACGGATTGACTACTTTATACCATTTCTCGTCGGTGTGGTACAATGGCAAATCCCACAAGGTGGACCATCTTGAAGTAAGATAGTCGCGTATTCCCTTGGATGATAAATCTGGCTTCTCATTGAACAAATCGTTTTTACGTATGTGGCTTGAATCGTTGGATTCGTTTTCGTAGGGAGTCACTTGGTCCACTGTTGTGGTTCCAATCTCTTTTGATCCACTCATGTCCTGCGTGCAAAGGGAAAACATATTTGTAGAAGAAGGGACATCACACTGTCTCGTGAATGCCATGCGAGGATTATGGCATCTTTATATAGACGACGGGAAACTACACTAGTGCCCTCTTCTCGTCTCCACCATCTCAACAAAAGACGTGGCTTGTTATGGACATTGCATAGTATTCTGCTTTCCCCTCCCACACACACACACACACACACACACACACACACACACACACACACATACACACATACACACAAGAGAATATCTGCAATCTCATTCCCCTCATCTTCCATCAGTGAAAGATATTTAGCTCACCCCCGGAGTTTTTCTTTTCCCTCCAATTTTTTTTTTTTCTTGAAATTTGTCTTGTTTTGGGCAATAATGTTAAAAAGTAGTCATTTGTGGGGGCTTAATTATATTTACATGCACGGATTCTTCCTTTTCAAATATGAACGGCTTCCAGCGGCTGATCTAAAGTTCCAAAATTATTTTCTTGTTTTGTTTTCCTCTCTTTCAACTTTGTGAAATTTTTGCAGCCAAAATTATTCCAATAACATGTTGGTAAGATTTTTTCGACTGTATTTTTACCAAGGTTTGGCAGGTGTTATGTGAGGAGAGACAGATTTATCTTTATCAAAATGCTTGACACAAAGCAAAAACCTGTGCGCTTTTGATGTGTTTACATGATCTACCTCATCGGTCCATTTATTATTTAGTGAAAATTATGCTGGGTGTACAAGTCTTGGCACAAGTTGAGTTAGAGATTTTTATGCAACAAGAATTGTATTCCCCATATAAAACAAAAGTTCGATGGATTGTGTTACAGAATTGTTGTTTTGAGAAATCTACCCATTCCAGAAAAGCTTATTTGCCAAGCGTCGATTTTTCTTTGTACACCATTGCGGATTTCGGAGTTGCATTAGCGAAATAACTCACTGCTTTGATGTAAAGCATGACCAAATCAACTTGTATATGTGACTTAATCTGGCCAATGAAAAGACTTTTCCTCAAAGTCCTGGCACTCTATCTTTTAAGAGCTTCGCTTAAATGAATCGGGCTCAATTTAGTTCAAAGTTTATTGTGTCTAACTAAAGATAAACGAAGGAATACTTGAGAGACGGGAATATCCCTCGCTACGTGTTGCCACAAAAATCCACTTAGGTGTATACTCTCTTGCTTCAATAGGGGGTGGATAGTCACCTTTGGAGCCCCCGACAATGACGACATCAACCTTCGCCAGCGCTAGGGACATCGGTATCGTCAATTCCATGTAAAATGTCACTACCGTCAAAAGAAATTACACCATCATTGCCAATCGAAGCATCTAATGCGGTTCTTGTACTCATCTGCAAAATATCTCCACCCTTTCTAAGATTGAGCTTTACTTGAGGGGTAAGCTGTATGAAGAATTTCTGACATTCGTTGTAATACCGTTCCCATTAATTTGGCAAAAAAATCGGTAGCGAGTTTGAGTTGATAATGCTTGCGCAGCTAAAATTAAGATTGAACATGGTTTGAAAAGCTTCATTATTGTTGGTGTTGTTGATTTGAAGACTCTTATAGGTGAAGAATTACGGGAGGTACCCAAAGACACACACACATATATATATATATATATTGGAGTGCTTTGAAAAGATCTTGGTTCTTACATCCATTACGAATTTCTCTGTTTATCAATCTGTTGTTTATTTGTTAGCTATAAATAAACCGCTGCTTTGTTCGGGCTATTTGTTGTACCCCGAGTTAACATTTTACTAGTGCCATTTTAAAAGTCCATCTATGCCGCCACCTCTAGACATTTGAAGAGTGCTGGGTTTTCCCGAATCCCCAATGGCCACCACTGCACAGCATACAGAACCAAACAGGACATGAAATAGAGATCACCTTACTTAACCATAAACAACTTGTTGTTCTATTTTCTCAACTATATAATCTGAAACTCTAGCGAATTGGAGGACTTCAAAGTACAATTGCTACAAATTGTTTCCTCAGTTGTTGTACTTTCTTGCTTCAATAGTGAATGGAATGCCATCACCCAGAGAGCCTACCAAAACAGCATAATTGTTTTGGGAGTAATTCTTGGGATCGTTGATGTTCTTTTGGGCACGCAAAGCATCACTACCAGAAAATGAAACAGTACCATCATCACCAATTGTACCTTTCAAAGCCGGACCCGGTCTGTATTGTAAAATACCTCCCAACTCTCTCACATACAACTTAACATTGGAATCAACTTGGAAGAAAAACTCTTGCAGAGCGTCATCGTAATCAATAAGTGACGCCGAATTACCGTCGTTGTTGTTGGAAATGAAGTAGTACTGAACAGGATCAATTTCCTCAATATGGTATAATCCGTGACCATCAATTTCCTTGTTGCTTGATTTGACAAAGAATTGATAGCGAGTGACTGCACCTAATGATTGAGCAGCAAGAGCTAAAATGGAAACTGATTTTAAAAAGTGCATTGGATAAACTTTGTAGGGTTTGATGAAGATTGAATGCGAATCAAACCGGCATTTTGATCAGTTTATATACTCAATAAAGTTAAACATCTTATTCTCCTTGGGGGAGGGACGTTGGCTGAGCATCTGTTTGTTTACAGTTTCTATTTTTTCCAAAACTGTGGTGGTGGTGGTAGTGATGGTGTTTTTGTTTTTGTTTTTGTTTTTGTTTTTGTTTTTGTTTTTGTTTTTGTTCGTTTCTTCTATGCGTCTGTAATTTGTTCTATGGACCCCTTGCATATTAATTTCGGTGCCTTATTTTTAGAAACAAACAAAAGAAATTCACATCGGGTTTAGGATTTACAAAACCGTTTAACAATAATAAAAAACAATAGAGAGAGAGAGAGAGTGTGTGTGTGTGGTACGGCGAAAACGAGTACACAGTTTTGATGGGAAACAATGTATCCACATTCGGAGTTTAGACATGGGGTTAATTAGTCTTAGTTCCGAGAGAAACATGCAAACCCCGATGAAACCCCTCATGACGTCATTTGTGAAGCCCAATATAGTCTAACTGTTTCGAACAGAAGTACAAGGTGGCCAATTTGGTTTACACATCGATTCTTTTACAAAACTCTACAAACTGAGTAGGTAATAGTAATCTTTAATTCTAAACATACTAAAGTTGCACTAAACTACTCCATCTTTATCAAACTCAAACCTTCTTTGCAATAATAGTAACTGAAATCCCATTTGCAACTTCTGTGGTGAGGATACCATAGTTGTAGTCCGAGTATCCCTTTGGGTCGCCAATATTCTTAACAGCAGACAATTTATAGGGACTGCCGAAAAATACAACACCATTGGAGCTAATATCACCCGTCAATGGTTGGCCCAGTCCACTTAATTGGAAAACACTATTGGTGCCATCAGTAACGACGTATTTCTGTTGTGGACTAACCTGATGATAAAACTCTTGGGTGTCGGAATCATAAGTGACAGTAGAAGCAGATGAGGCGTCAGTGTCATTTGCAATAAAGTAGTAGTTGGTGGACCCTCCCTCGTCGTAGTAGTATAACCCGTGCCCGTTGATGTCTTGGTTGTCTGATTCAGCAAAGAATTGATATTGAGTCAAGTCAGCAACAGCATTAGCAGCCAAGGCTAAGATAGAAGCAGCTTTGAAAATTTGCATTTCGAATTGAGTATGATGAATTTTCGTGGTGTAGTATCTTGTAAGAAGTCAACCCAACAAGGATCATGATACACATTTATATACTCGGTTCTTTATTTACCATTTGTTTATTTTTAGCAGGCCAACCCGTGGCGATATACGTGCTTGGTATAAGAAAAGATAGATTCAATATGTGGCTATTGTATTTTTTTTGGAAATTCTCCAGTCTATTGTTTGCAGCCTGGAACGTGGCTTAAAAAACTGAAAAAAAATAAAAGTTCGGACATAATATGTGAAACTCGGATTTACGCTCTATATCCTTAACCCAGTTCCTGGAGAAGTGATCAGTGTAAGTCGGGTTGGAGTTATTGCCCTAATTCCGAAAGAATTCTCAAGAAGGAGCACTGCCCTGCTCAGAGGCATTCGAATTGTCTACATATGGTATTAGATAATGTTGCAAAACTTTTGGTAACTTGTAATAGAGATGAGCTAATACTAAATAAATAGTTGTTGTGCAAAAGTATGCTGTTTACTCAATAGGTTTTATATACTCTATAATGGAGCTTTAAGATGATTGATATTTTCTAGCTTCAATGCTAATAGGAATACCTCCGTGATCGTTCTTGACAGTAACAGCAAAGTTGTCCTCGGAGTATCCATATGGATCATTGATACCTTTTCTAGCATCCAAGTATTGGCTTCCGTTGAATGAAAGAATACCATCATCCCCAATTGTAGTCTTCAATGGCTCACCTGCACCCAATTGCAAAATATCACCTACAGTGCTCAAAACGAATCTAATTTGAGGATTGACCTGGTAGTAAAACTCTTGGTTTACGTCATCGTATGTAACAACTGAAGCTGCCGAGGGATCATCACTGTTGGAAATGAAGTAGTAATTGATAGCGGCACCTTCATGGGTGTAGTATAATCCGTGTCCGTCCAACTCTTTATCACCGGCTTTTGCAAAAAATTGGTATTGGGACAAGCCTGCCATGGCTTGAGCGGCAACAGCTAAAATGGAAAGTGATTTCAAGAATTGCATTGTATAATGCTGGTTAAGAAGTGTTTAATTGATAGTGATGAATTTGAATGGAAGGAAGTGGGAATTCTTGACAGTTTATATATTGCCCAAAGTTTAATCCAATACTCTAGTAGCATGTCCTATTATTAGAAATAAAATTATTGTTTGTTTTGATTGTTCATTCGATGTATTATTCTGATTGGTTCTGGTTGTACCTGATTTCCAAGGTTTTGTGTAGCAGGTCCCATTCCTTTTTTTACGTCATAGATCTGCACCGGAGAAACTCTTGAAATCAGGCGTCACAATAGCAATTAGAATAGCGATGTTTGTCTTTATTTTTGGAAACAAACAAACAAACAAACAAACAAACAAATGAGCAAAGGAACAAAAGAGGGCGGTGTGTGTGTGTGTGAACATCCTCTTCTCATGTAGTGTACATTGACTCAACTTCACAGAACCGGGTGGTCCTGTATTAAGCGTTAGTAACTGAAAATGATGCACAGAAGAAAGAATTACGTCACCTACAGCGAAGTCCTCCAAATAAAGCGCCACATATTTACGGCTTCCAAAGATACTTGGATTTTGTGCAATGTGGCGTGATCTACCTCAACCGATGACCCTCTACTACAACTGCGAAGGCGTAACTTATTTACTAATGGTACCAGGATGCAACATTAGAACAAATTACACACAAACTTGCAGCTTCAATTGACGAAAATCTTTAACAACGAGTCAATGACCGCAGTTGCTGACAAGGCCGTAATTCCGCTATTTGTATCATACGGCGGGCTCACCTCAACTACATCGGCACCAACGAGATGACGACCCAATTCTGTACCCTTCAACCCATCCAAAATCGCCAAGAGCTCTCTAGACGTAAAACCACCAACTTCCATCGTTCCAGTGCCAGGTGCATAAGCGGGATCCAAGACATCTATGTCTACCGAAATGTACACTGGTGTTCCAATCTCTTTGTCGTTAGCAGTATAACTCTCAACCAACTCTTTGAGAATTCCCTGCACTCCAATTTTGTCAATCGATGAGGCGCCAATCACATTGAATCCACATTCAGCATCATGCTTCAGATCAAAATCGGGATCAATTAGAGGTGCCCTGATTCCGACATGATAATTCCCCTTGTCGCCTATAAAACCCTTTTCATGTGCATAGTGTAGGAATGTACCATGGTTTAAGCTCATATAGTTGGTGATGCCACCTCCTAGCTTTTTTGGGTCCCACGTATCAATATGAGAGTCAAAGTGAATAATCTTGATTGGCTTCTTCCATTGCTCGTGCAAGTTTCGCAATGCCATTAATGTAATTGTATGGTCACCACCCATGGTTATCACCCGCGGTATCAGATGAACCTTGCCACTGTGATTATTGACAATTGCTCTGTGGCCACGATAAAGTTGATTCAATGAAATCCGATTGTCGAATGGGTTCATTGCCACGTCTCCGCAGTCCACAATTGAATGCTTGTGAAAACTATCTCTCCTGATGTTCTTCTCCTTGTAATTGTTCTTCTTTGAATCCGTTGAGTAACTTAATCTCTTCGCCGCTGATCTAATGGCATCTGGACCAAACCTTGCGCCAGGCCTAAAAGACACACCTGTATCAAAAGGAGCACCAACAATTGCCACGTCTATTGGAATGTCATTGTGACCCTTGAAGCAGTTGAAATGTGGAAGATGGGCATACGTCACTATGCCTCCAAACATGTTTTGATCCATTTCTATATCCGAAACATCATCCTTGTCGGGAAACTTGGCATGTGGTTTCCTTTTCAAATAATGATGAAGAATGGACTCATAATACACATCGGGGAACTTTTGTTCGTAGCTGGAATAAACACCCAAGTTATCCTCGTCCTGAGATATTTTATATTGAAAGTTTGGATGTTGATAACTCTCATGGACCAAGTCACCATACAACTGATCAAGTAACGATGTGCTAGCTAGGTAATGTCCTGCCGCAGTTGAAAGTATAAACCAACCAAGAAGCATCTGCTGTTGTGGTTGTTGTTGTCATGGCATTCCCGTACAATTCTTGCACCTTTTTATTTCTGATTCTGTCCAAGAGCGGAATTTTCCTCTCCCTATCACTCAATTCCGCATTTCCAAAAGAGGCAATATGGTTGCGCAACAAAAATATTTGTTATATACCATTGAGTCTTTGCCTTGTCACCACCCAATGTCCAAAATAAGGTATATGATCATTTTATTCAGGGGCTTAAGAGATCTTGGTCAAAAAAAAAAAGAAAGCTATATTGCTCATGGAGGTACGGTCATACAACTTGAACATGTTATCAACTATATAATACATTTATACAAGCTCCTCCCCCTTCCCCTTTCTCTCTCTCTCTCCACTAAAGAGTCTTTTCAACCAAGTAAATGCCATATTCATCCTTCAACTCTTTCATAATTGGATCATTAATCTCTGAGCTCATTGGCGCCAATAACCCCTTTTTGCTCAATGTACCATTCAAAATCTGTTTAGTGGCCACAGCACAAGGAACACCAACCAATTTAGCCATAGAAGAATAGCCCTTTGGATCACCATAATCAACCAATGTGGAAGTTCTAGTTTCAGTTGTACCGTCTTTATTCTCAACACCAAATTTGTGTTGCAAAATAACCAAATCACGCTCACCTGGTTCGTATTGCATCAATTGCTCCAAAGTGGCACACAATGTATCCAATGGGTTACCCTTGGGGGTCAATTGTTTGTCGGATAATAATCCCAACCACTTGAATCCATCAAGAATACGTTCTTCATCCTCGGCAGATTTGAACTTGGTCAAGCTCTTGATTTGAGCAATGATATCTTCTGCAGATGAAGATTTTGCTCCAATCAATTTAGCAGTGGCCTCATTCCATGGGCCAGGCTTGGTGAAAATTTCAGTCTCTTCATCTTTCAAAAACCCAGTGTCAACTAAAACTTTAATGAATTCAGGGAACCCTTGGAATCTCAAGGTACCTCTAATGACAGTTTCAGCCTCGGGGATATTGTATAATTCTTTGTAAGTAGTCGAGTCTCTGTTTGGGTAGCAAACCAAGGCAAAACCAGGGTAGATAAAGTATGGTTTTGCAGTGGCCATCAAATCCTCGGATTTCACATCAACAATCTTGCCATCTTGCCAATACTTGGCAGCATTTCTCAACGCCAACAAGACACCTCTAGAACTCCATGAGAATTTGTAACCCAATGGGTTATCGGAGTTTTCTGGGGCTGGCAATCCACCACAATATGACAAGAATGATTTAATCTTACCTCCTTCTTTATGAACATCCTCGATGGCCTTGACAGCGTACAAATGGTCAATACCAGGATCCAATCCAATTTCATTCATCACAGTGATTCCAGCATCTTCAATCTCCTTCTCCAAAGCCTTCAATTGTGGGTTGATGTAGGATGTAGTGACAACGTGCTTTTTATTCTTGATGGCTGATTTGACGACATTGACATGATAAGTGTATGGAATTAATGAAATAACCAAGTCAAATTTAGCAACTGCAGCATCCAAAGCTGCGGTGTCATTAACATCCAATGAAATAGCCTGGGCTTTATCACCAGCCAACTCCTTAGCCTTGGATAATGTTCTGCATGCGACAGTGACTTCAATGTTGGGGTCTTGCGATAAAATATCGACTGTTGGCTTAGCAACGAAACCCGAACCTAATAATAAAACTTTTTGAACCATGATATTTGGAGGACAGGTGGTGTAATTGAGTTTTCCAAGAGGAAGGAAATGCAATTTGGAAGAGATATTTCTGGTGAAAAATTAGCCGCCAGTCAAATCCAGAATTTTTTTTTTCTTTCTTTTTCACACATTTTGAACACTGTTGCACGCACAGTCTTTATCTTAAGCGCCCTTTATCAAAAAATTGCCGTTTATGACTCAGAGAGAAAAGTTTTCCTACCAAGATACACTACTTTTACAAAAACTCCGACCCTTGATGAAAGTTGTCTCCTTTGTGCGAGAGTACTTTAAGCTCCTTGACAACGGGAACTGAATCCCTCTGAATGCTGCAGTACCTTTTCATTAAGTAACTTCAAGAAGTTTGGTAAGGGTTGGGATTGTAGAATGTAGAGGAAGGTTAGATTTACCCCACAGTTACATTGTAAAGAAGATAGGACAACCAGAACAGACTTTCCTTGTTTGTACTACATCAGTTTATAAAAAGAGATTCCCTGGGAAACTGAAAAGTCTTGTCTGGGTTCATATCTAAATGGATGTGTCTAAGGGCTTACAGAACGATTGAGGTATTGAGAGACGCCAACCAAGTAAAGTCAATACGGGAAAATGTGACGGTAGCTTATTGTCAGAAGACAACCAGGGTAGACAAGGAAGTTGGGTGGTGCTTTCGGATTTGCTTCGTAATATAGGGCTAATACATTGAATTAGTTTCGTTGGTTCGGTTACCAGCTTACTATTTAAAACCAGTGGGGTCGAAAGTAAATGTAGTGGAACCAGATTACCGGGTTTTTGCATTATCCGTTATACTTTATTACAAATTAAGGGCAGTGTTTTATCTAGCTTCACTCCAAAAGCTGGGGACTCAAACACCGTTGCAAAAATAATTTATTATTTTACTGCCAAGGAAAGGGTGAAGGATGACAGATTATATTGGAGAAAATCTAAAGAGCAATATGCTAAACAAACTGTATCAGCTATGTTGTGTACAGAGAGTAGGATTGAGATGGAGCCCAGCAGCCCCAAAAACACTCATCTATCAGGGGCTTGAACTATCTTAACTTCTATGAATCGAAAGAGCGTTAATTTTGGAAATTTAATTTTTTTCTTTTTTATATATATTTCCGAACAGTAGATTGTGGGGTACTTTTACCAGGAAAAAAAAAAAAAAAAAAAAAAAAAGGAGAATTCTTTTGGTATTTAAAAACTTCATGACGGTATGCTCTATGGATTTACAACAAAATCAAAGCAATTAATAATTGATAAAGATTATACTAAGGGGTGCCTATATTATAATACCTACTAGTCCGTAGATTATTTCTATATGGTCTTTTCCAGTAAAATAAACATCAAAAAAGGGGGACTTAGAAAAGCTACAATCGTAAAAAAAGGAAGAGTTCTTTTTTTGGGCATTGCTTTACATGGAGCCTTCTGTTGCGAAATACACCTTTTCTGTATATAGACTATTCTGGGCATGTGGTCTCTATTTCTATCTGGTTCAGTAAATGGTATCGGATTTGTCAAAAAAAAAAAATAGAGAGAAAAGGATCTGCTCAATGCAGCCTAATTCAATTTTGTGTTTTTTTCTAAAGCGCGTTACTGGATAATCATTTAACCTGAAGCCCCCAAAAACTGTTAACCACACTCGTTACACAGTGGCAAAGAAGAGAACAGAAATATACGGTTAGCTTGATATAAACCAGTGAGCTTGACCAACCCCTCTTTTCATCTTTTTGCAACTTATCCCCACTTGACTTCAGCTCGTTATAAATATGATAAAGGTTTCACTTATTCAAACATAATCCCATCTCCTCTGGTGTAAGCCAGTACCGAAAAAAAATGTCTTCAAACGCAAGTTCAATGGACCCTGAGAAGGGAATCACAAATTTACACTTGGAGGATGCCTCTACTCATTACCAACTAGACATCTCTGAAGAACACAAGCAATATCTTATTGCAAAACATCGAACATATGATTTACACCCACTACCAACTATGAGCAATGATGATCCTCTAAACTGGTCAAATGGAATGAAATTCTTGCAATTGGGGATGGTGGCATTCCACGGGTTTATGGGAACCTTTATGGCGTCAGGTATAGTTCCCTCATTTGGCAAGTATTCAGAGATTTTAGAAAAACCTGTCCCCACTGTATCGTATCTAACTTCTGCCCAAATTGTCCTCATTGGAACATTCCCTTTGGTATGGGTACCACTTATGCAAAGATATGGTAAAAGATTGTTGTTGATAATCTCGGCATTGGGCACCACGGCATTTACAATTGGTGCAGTTTTCAGTACTGATTACGGGACATTAATGGCAATGAGATGTTTACTGGCGGTATTTGTGTCTCCTGGTTTAGCCGTGGGTGGTGCCATTGTTAAAGAGACTACATTCAGTCATCAAAGAGGTTCAAGGAGTGGAATTTGGGCCATTTCAGTCAACTTGGGAACAATGTTTGGTGCTTTTCTAATGGGGTTTGTTGCCCAATATCAACATCCGAAATATGTACACGTTGTTTTCGCATGTGCAATGTTTGTGCTTGCAATTTGCTATTTGTTACTAGGCAAGGAAACATCTTTCAACCAAGTTGATATCAATAGAAACGAACCAAACAGATTTAAGCAATTGCAACCAAGAGTGATATTCCCAGAAAACACAATAAGACCACTAGACTTTATCGAACCTTTGCAATTCCTTTTCGTGCCAAGGGTATTCATTCCAGCATTTGGCTACACTATCATGTTTATGCATGGAAATATTGCCATGAACGTTGAAATCCCTCAAGTGATGGTCGGCAAGTTCGAACTTGGTCCACAGGCTTTGGGTTTGCAATTCCTTTCGTTTGTCATTGGAACTGTGATTGGGGAAGTTGGTGGTTACTTGTCGGATAGGTTGGTTGTTTGGGGCCATAGAAATAACAAAGGACCTAGTTTCAGATTGTGGATCACACACCCAGGTTACATCACGTGCATTGTAGGTTTGGTTGTGTTTGGCGTACAGTTGCAAAACATTGACCACTACAACATCACTCCCTTGATTGGTTGCGCAATAGCTGCTTTTGGTTTGCAGATTGGTACTTCTCCCATCATTGCTTACTGCATAGACACAGACCATTCCAAAGCAGTACAGATCAGTTTGTTTGTGACGTTCCTTAGACAATTGCTTGCTTTTATTGGTCCTTTTTATTATCCAAAGATGTTTGTTAATTTAGGTTTTGCAAAAGCTTATGGTATTATGGCAGCTCTTGTTGGAGCCTTTGGATGGATTGCAACTAGTTGCTTACAAGCTTATGAGCAAAGGCGTGGTAGATAAGAGTGTGTTTATTTTATTGAATCAATATTTTCTTTACAAAATTTTGCAACTTTTCCCCTCGCAGTTCCGATAATATGGAATACAGATTGATTTGAAGATTCCTGTTCAGTATTACTATTATTACTACACGTTGATATCAAGCATTGGCTCTATAGATTAGTGACACCAAAGTAAACCGGGAGCTATGCTCCCCGCCCCATCCCGATGTTTCCTTTTATAATAAATACGGTGCTATCTTAAGACTGACCCGTTTTTTATGGTTAATGCTACCCTCTATCACTCATCACGTTTTTCACTTTTCTTTTTTAGAGATCCTACAAGATATTACACTATCATCGTTATTATATTCATGCACGAGACTGCAATAGAAGAATATTCCAACACAAATTAATTTAGTGTGATACACTTTGGTTTCTTTTTTTTTTTTTTTTTTTGTATCTCTTTGGTGGAGATTTCCCATACACTTAGTGCGAGCTGTGGACAGAAATTTTCCAAAGAAGAAATCTTATTATTTGAGAGTTTGACATTGACAGCGCCGAGTAAATTTCTATAATACTTGAAACTTCAGTCAAAGCTAATCGAGGTTGGTGTTTCTTTTTCTTTTTTTTTTTTTTGTTTTTTTTTCTCTCTCTCTGAACGCCAAACCCAAATCCCAAATCCGAGGGTAGAGGGTTACACTGTTGGATCAAGATGTGAGGGGAGCACGGGTATTGCACCACTGCCAACGTTTGAGGCAGTTTCTAGTACAATGTTTTTGACGCGATGCATGTGTCTGCCAAGACTTTGTCTATTGAGGAAAAATAAGGTTTTGTATAGACAGACTCTCTTCTACCCCTCTTTCTCCCCCAATATGTAAAAGAAACTTAATATTGCGTGGTCAAACGTTTCTTTCTTGAAAATCCGAGCGCGTAGAACTATTTTTTTTTTTTTTTTTTCTCCCCCATTCCCCCACAAATTATAGTCCTCTCTTGTGCCAGCCTTATAACAGGTGTAAGGCTGCAAGGGGACTAAAAATGTGCCAACAAAAATGAACAAGTGTTGGTACTACTACAGCAAGAGAAGCCATGTCACACTAATACAAAAATCGAAAAAGAAAAGCCAAAACAAACTAAAATTGTTCTGTTATCACCCCATTGTCTTTGCTCCTTTCCTCTTCCCCTCCACTCTTACGATTTAGTCTTTACCAATGTACGATTCTCTATTGTTTTCTCGGAGTAACCCAACTAGAGACATCATGAGATTTAAGTGGAGGTATGTTACCCCACTATATAATCACCATATATAACTTGGCAACCCCTTCCACACCGTTCACAACAATTTTAATTCCTTTTCTCATACTTCATACAATGAAAGACAAAACAGAGGTAGAACATATTTCCCCCTATTCATCGAGCCACGATCACTTAGCCGATGATGACCACAATGACTTGTTCAATGAGAAACCAGACTTATCTTGGCCATCGATTAGACATTATTTTGCCACCAGAATACCCAACTTGTTAGACTTGCCCTTGTACCGTCAAGATAGGAAATGGTATCAAGTGGTGAACCCAATCCCCGGTTTGAAGGAGATGACAGCATTGAATTGGAATTTGTACGGGTTAGGGTTCCTCGCATGGTCATTGGACTCTATGGATTTCTTTTGTGTTTCGGTATCGGCTTCTGAAATTGCTGCCACTTTGAACGTGAGTGTTACCGATATCACTTGGGGTGTCACTTTGGTATTGATGCTTCGATCGGTTGGTGCTGTAATCTTTGGTATCGCAGCGGACAAGTTTGGAAGGAAGTGGTGTTACATTACAATATGTACTTTGTTTATTGCTGTTGAAATTGGTACTGGGCTTGTTCAAACTTATAAGCAATTTCTTGGAGTCAGAGCACTATTTGGAGTTCTAATGGGGGCAATGTATCCGATAGCTATGGTCACTGCAATTGAAGGACAGCCCACTGTGGCGAGATCTGTATTGTCAGGGTTGTTTTTGCCTGGTTACTCATTTGGTTACATTTTGGCAATGGTTTTCTATAGAGCGTTTGCCAACACTTACAAACCAGGTGAAGGTTGGAGGAGCTTGTTTTGGTTCAGTGCCGGATTGAGTGTGCTATTGATTGCTTGGAGGTTTGTGGTTCCCGAATCCCCCGATTTCATCAAGTTGAAAGAAAAGAAAAGGAGATTTAATGAGCGGAACAGGGTCAAACATAAACTTATTGACACTAGTGTCTTGCAAACACTAAAAACCGAGTGGTTACTATTCATCTATCTCGTGTTCTTGTACAGTGGCTGGAACTTCACCACCCATGGATCACAAGATTTATACGTCACCATGCTAACTAAGCAGTTTGGTGTTAGCTTAAACACAAAAACGGTGATTGTTGTTGTTAGTAATATCGGTGGTATAATTGGAGGTATCACGATGGGGTCCGTTTCAGAATTATTTGGACGACGCCTAACAGTCATCATTTGTATGATATGGTGTGGAGCTTTTGTCTACCCTTCCTTCTTCAACGCTAATAGAAACTGGTGGGCTTACGTCTTGTTGAATGGTGGTGTCATGGGAGCGTGGGGTATTTCGTCAGTGTACTTGTTAGAAGTCGTCAACAAGGCCAATAGGGCATTGATTTCTGGGTTAGCTTATCAGTTGGGTAATTTAGTCAGTTCTGCAAGTGCCACCATCGAGGCCCGTTTAGGAGAAAAGTTCCCACTTGAGGGCCATTCTGGTGGTGATGACTTGTACGACTATGGTAAGGTGATGTGTATTTTTTGTGGTGCTGTGTTTAGCTACATGATTATTTGTGTTTTGGTTGGACCAGAGAAGTTCCACAATAACTTGCATGTGACCGATGAAGATGAAGTCCTTGAAGAAGGCAGCAGTCAGGATGATTTAAAGTCTGATAGAAGGATGTAGTTGTTTATAATGAGAAATTGCGATTAGAGTCTATGTAAGAATACGAGATATCTTGCTAGTTAGTCTATTCCAAGGTGCTTTCTTGGGTTCTCAATGGCTACTCTTGTAATTATCCAGATCATAAAAGAATGGGTGCACTTTCTGCAGATACAGATGGTGGTGTATTTGTAGAATAAAATTATACAGGGCTGTTTGCGGAATCTTTTACTCGCTTTGTGGTTTCTGATAAACGGAACAGCGGAATATTTAGTAGATAAACACAGCTAAAAAAGCGCATCTAAGAAAATCAAAGATTGGCCCAAAATGGAAACCACCGTGGTAGAAAACCAGATCCATTGTTGTCCTAAAACATTGCATATAAAATGGAGGGCCACTCACCCCGCCTTGAGTCGACTTCATGCTGCGTGCCCCTACTCACTAGCAACCCTCAATCATGTTCGATCAAGAGCAACAACACATTATCCACGATGATTACCACTTTCCCCCAGGAACAATTCATCTTATCGATATGCACTCGGACTTGAATGTGCAAAAAGGCGACGGCAACATTATCTTACACCCACAACCATCATCCAACGTTAATGACCCGCTCAGATGGTCCAAAACGAAACGCAACTTGCAATTTGCATTGATTTGGTTCTGGTCGTTCATGTTGGCCCTCAATATCAATTTCATGACGCCCTTTTTTGCCGAGTGGGTTGTTGAATGGAAAACAACATATAATGAGCTAGGAGTTGCAGTTGCTCTAAGTTATTTAGGATTAGGCGTTGGTGTATTGTTTGTCCAACCAACCGCATTAAAATTAGGGAAGGTGTTTGTTTATAAATTGGGCACCGTACTTGCGATAGTCACATGCATTATAGGGTCACAATCTTCGAATGTAGGCTATTTCCACGCATTCAGTATATTGTCAGGTTTGGCTGCATCCCCCGTTGATACAGTGGTTGAAATGTCTGCAAATGATTTGTTTTTCAAACATGAAAGGTCCACAGCGTTTAGCTCATTGGTTTTGGCATTGTATGGCGGTACTGATTTAGGCCCTGTTGCGGCTGGATACATTGGTGATAGTATGGATTGGAGTTGGTGCTACTATATCTTGATTATCATTTTTGTGCCCTTGCTATTGTTGCAAATATTCTGGATGGAGGAGACTACCTTCAGACGATCCGAAAACGAGGAGGAGGAATTGGAAGACGAAATTATTGGTCAAGTTAAGTCGCATGAAACAACAAGATCTGGCAACTTGCACCCCAAAAAGCTCCACGACAAGATTGAAGCTGTAATTGAGTCCCATTCTGTTGACGAAGATCAAGTTAAACTCATCTATTGGCAAAAACACAAGTTATATCACACAAAACAAAATGATACTCGCTCTTGGCTAACCATTTTCATAAGGCCCGTTTACTTGGTTACCTTCCCAGCTATTCTTTGGAGTGGGTTAGTCTACGGGTTTCAAATGTTTTGGTTATCGCTTGCTGTGAATACCCAATCAGAGATATTCTCTGCTCCACCTTATAATTTCAGTATCGACAGTGTGGGGTTGATGACGTTGGGACTTTTCGTCGGTAATGTTATTGGAATGTTTTATGGCGGACCATTTGTCGACTGGTTTGCTATCAAAATGGCCAAACGTAACAATGGTATATTGGAACCAGAACATAGGCTACATACTATGCTATTACCAACGATCTTGAACGCAGGTGGAATTTTGGCGTACGGTTTAGGGGCTTACTATGGCAGTCATTGGGCTATACTAGTTGTTGTTGGTCTAGGTTTGATGGGATTTGCAATGAGTTCATCAGGTGGAATTTGTTTGGTGTATGCTGTTGAATGTTATGACAAGTTGGCGAGTGAAAGTTTGGTGTTGATTTTGTTTATTAGAAACATGATTGGAATGGGATTCTCGTTTGCGATATCACCCTGGATTGCGGCACAAGGTATGTTGAAAACTACATTCACCATGTTTGCACTTTCGGTGGTTGTTAATGGGTCGTACATTTTCATGGTATGGAAGGGAAAGGATATTAGACGCTGGTCACAAGCTCGGTATGGAAAGATTACTGTCCCCTCATACGGAGACATCTTTAGGAGAAAGAATTAGAGGGTAGTGAGAGCTGCGTGAGTGTGAAGTTGCTACATATTGTGAAAATGCAAATGGGTTCTAAATTAGGCTTAGGCAAGTTTACATGTTAATGGAGAACGTTGCTTGGTTAAAGCACTATTTATATGTATTTCCAATCTAATAAGAACAGTGGTCCTTTTCTCAATCGTAGTAATCGTCGTCGTCAGATTCAAACCCTGATGAATAACTCAGGATGATGTTACTTATATCCTCGACCAACTCCGCTTTATCTCCAATCACATCATCGAGGTTCAATCGTAAGTTTTGTATTATTATCTTGCGAGTCTTGAGATACTCTTTGATTCCATTGTGTATATTGAACTCGATGTGAAATTTGCTCAGCTTGTTTGTTAAAATGTTGGGAAATGTGTCAATTTTGGCAAATTGGGACATGTACGGGTTTGTGTAGATGTTTGTTGGGGTATCCTCATCATTGGATGATGATAAGCCCATTGCCTCCAGTTCCTTCTTATCGTTCATAATGTAGTTTCTGTTTATGTATCTTGCATTTGCGCAAGATTTAGAAACACCCAAATTCATCTCCTGTGGGGGGATATGCTGAGTCAATGTTGATAAATCACGCACTTTCGTCAAGTCAATATCCATCATCAATCCGTTCATTCCAGCAGTGGCATCGCCTTCACCAACAAGCTTGACTTCGTTTACAATTTTCTTAGCCTCATCCCCGCGTAATAGATTTTCTTGCATATGTAACATATTCACCTGATTAAGGTATTGATTGTTGATGCCCCAAATCAGGTTAATGAAAAGGGCAGGGATAGATGAGGTATGCCAGATTGAGTTTGTATCTAGGCCATTAATCACTGATGAATTGTAATCGGGGGATAAGGGGATGAATAGACTCAGTGATTTATAAAGTTCAACAAACGACTTTATTTGTGACACTTTATCAATGATGGACAATTTATCTCCTTTCCTGTGTAGTGCATGGTTGAATTGTCCATAAATCCATACATTTTCCTTATTATTGAAAAACTCATCTTGAACAAGCTCAATCATTGATGTCGTGAACCCACTCCATGAATCATCAATTGTGGTGCCCACTTGTAGTCCCTGCAAATTGTCACACTTTTCTAACCAGTATCGGAAGTTTTCCAACGATTCAGATTCAACCGATTTGAATTCGTGTTGGCCAGTTGAAAAAGTATGGAATTTTTGTGCTGGTAGGTTATAATTTGATCCGAAATCGTTGTATTTGTGCTGATATGATGGCAATGTGAGTATCGATCTTGGATTGTATATGAGTTTGTTGAAATCGGTCCAATACTTGGTGTTTCCCGTATTCAACAACGATCCATCAGTTTTACCCTGATCCAAGCTTTTCTGATAATCATTTTTTTGCAATTGCGTGCCTACTTGTGGTTGTTGATTGACTACAGGCATGTTCAAATGTGGCACTTCTTCAGCATATTCGTATTTGTTGAATGCTCCTAGGCCACCTCGTAGATCAAATAGAAGTGCTCGTGGGTAGTAATTGGCTGTGGATGAACCATTGGTTGATGTTGCTGACCTGTATAAAAATGTTGATAATTGATGATTGAGCTTGGCGTCTTTTGTATAAGGTACCTGAGATTCTTGAAAGTTGTATAGGTGTGTTGTTGTACAATTAGAGAACTGGCCGTAGGATATATTGATAATTTCACTCATTTGTTGTGTATAGAGACAGCCTCAGCATAGTGCAATGTTGTAGTGAAATGCAAGTTTTTGCTTATCGCTAATAAACTGGAGGAGAGAGATGACTGAAGTCACGTGAAAACATACTGCATACAGAACAAGACGCATGCTACCAATTAAATTTGTTAAAAAATGATTTGTAGACAGGACAGAGAAAAGGATGTGAGTAACATAGTGACGGATTCGAGCTTGTTGAAATAAAGCTGCAGGTATAAATCGTGTTTAAAAGTAACTTAAATAAGGTTTAATTCTGATACAATTTTGAATCAAAGGGAGATTTTTGACACGCGTATTTATTTATTTACAATTACGTAATCAAAAGACCAAAAGAAGAAAAAATAAACCAACTCACACGTACTACGAGAGAGAGAGAGAGAGAGAGAGACATCGGCAGAAAAAGGAATAAAATTTACACTGTTAAAATCATTGACCGATTGGAAGCTATTAGCAGTACACACACATAAACCACTCTCACATACATTCGCAAACACATGGACAGGGAAGATTCATTTGATGCTGGTAATACCACAGTTGTATCTATACCACGTAGTGTCTTGATTGCAGAAGACAGACTTGTTGAGGAGCCTGCAGTTGATAAAGACTTGAAACAAGAACATCATCAATTACACCAAGAAAAGCAGAAAGGGGGAGCGGAAAATGGGGAAGTAGGAGAAGAAGGAAATAATATTTTAGATTCCCAGATCAATAAACCTCAAACAACAACAAGCACCAAAACAGGTGGCATTGCACAAGCTGCGCACTCACCATCAATTTCTTCCATATCTTCATTAGAAAGTGATAGCTCAACTAGTAAACTTATCCAATCTTTTTCCAAGACTAAGTTGACTGATAGTAACAAGGAAAACCAACCGCCACCACCACCGCTACCACTGCTCTTGGGAACTGACGCGCGCACAAACAATATGACCAATGACTGGGAGAGACCAGCCCTAATTGCTACATCCACTGAAAATAATGTCAGTGACAACAACAACAACAACAACAACAACAACAACAGCAGCAGCAGCACCACTACTACTTTCACAACAGAAACAACCAAAGTGACCAAATTGCCTCAATCAGTAGCTTCCAAAACAAATTTTTATAATGACTTGAATAGCAGAGATATAAACTCCTCCGTCTCCATCACGAGCAAACAACCACCACCACAACAAAGGAAGAAACCTGTTAAATTTACCGTGAGAAAAGTATCACATGAAGCTATTAGTTCTCCGTCTTCACCTTCACCTGATGCAGTGTCCAATGGGTATAGTCATAGCAGACAGAGCAGCAATGGCGGCCATCAGTACAAGAATAATACCTATAAATCGCCAAATCCAAGTAGAGATTACAGCTCATCATACCCGTCGCAATATCGAGTTGCCTCGTCGCAGTCACACTCAAACACACACTCCCACTCACCACAATTGGGAAAAACTAGTCCTACTATTGCCACTTCACCTTCAGTAGACACGCACGAGTTGGAAACACGCAAGAAATTATCAGCAGCACAACACAAATACGACCAATACGAGACAAGAATAGTCAAGATTGATAAAGAAATACAGTTTTTAAGTAATTTGCTTCCCCCATATACTGTTGATGTGGATTATACCACTAGAGTCAAGATTCAACGGGCAATTGACAAGTTGCGTGGGAAGCAGGATGAATTGGCTAGAAAGAAATATGGCTTGGGTATTACTATCAGTCGACTCTGGCGTGCTACTGAAGGAAGTGAAATATGGGTTAGGAAAGTGGATTAAAAGTGCGGGGAGCTCGGGGAGAAATGTATGTTAGTGCAATAGTAGTTATTCAGAAACTCGTATCCTTTCTGTACAGTTCAGCATTGATCTTTTTTCTTCGATTCTGTGTTGAAATAAGTTATCGTTTATAAGTAGTATTTATAGAGAGATATTGAAATGATTTGGATGGAGATGTATAGAGTGTACGGGTGAATGTAAAAGAATGGCTAAAAGTATGCGGTGTCATGTGACTATGGAGTTGTAAGTCCGAAAAGATGTTAAACTACACACAATAAAGTATGCAGTATTTCCAATCACACGCGCAACACAAAGTGGAGAATATTTGCTTCTGTATATAAGTAAAATCACACATAATCAATTTAAATTTTTCTTGGTGGACAGTTAACAAATTCAAATTCACACTGTACAACTATATCAAATCATTTTTTATCTATTTTAACTGTAGCGGGGGAAGGGGGAAGGGGAAAGACATATATATTGCAGGAGACAAATCTTTTGAAATTGTGGTTCTGTTTAACAAAGGTTTTGTAGCTTCATTTCAAGAAGGAGGTTGATTCTTCCTCCCTCTTTTTTTCATCTAACTCTGTGTGCGGTAGGATCATCAAAATAATCAGCCTTGCATATATCTTATATATGGATGCGGTAGCGCAACGCAATACATATACATATATATTCATTTTCTCTTTAAAAGTGCTTGCACATAATCCGTATAGTCAATGTGAGGAATGAAAAGTTTTAGGATAATGTATTTGCTGATTAACTACACTATAAAACTTTATATTTCGTCTTAGATCGTTCTTTCAGTGTGTAGCAGCTATATGGAGACAGACAGAATCAGAAACAAAAGAAAAAAGAACATACAACAAAATAGTTTTAAAGGGTGGAAAAGGGAAAAATAAAAGACAAAAAATTAAAAATTATTAAATAAAAAATAAAAAATAAAAAATAAAAAATAAAAAATAAAAAAAAGTAAAGAGTTGAGCGACAACAGCACAGCACAGCATAGCACAGCACACAACGCACGCAGACAAAACACCGTATTAACTTAATAAACCACTTTAACTAGCAGTACAGAAGCAGCAGCAGCATCAGTTGCAGTAGCAGAACAACTAGATCCAACAGAATTAAACAACCTACACTCATAACCATTAGAGAGATTCAACTACTTTACATCACTCAGACAATCTCCTCCTGATTGTCCCACACCAACAATCAAATAGGTACTACATTTTACCCTGTTTCATCCACCAACAAAACTTTCCAATAAGAGATTTAGATAGCAGGTCCAACCATTCGGTATTACTTTCATTATTATAACTGCCACGGCCAGATTATTATCAAAACTGCAACAACATCACCATTTATTATAGCTGGATTTACACGTCACTTTTTCAATCAGTCACAAGATCTCTCTAACTTTACGTCACGTCACGTCACGTCACGTAACCTCAAGTCACATCCTTGTTAAAGTTTTCATAATAGATCTCACATAGATTTACCCCATTAAAGTTACCCTATTCACCATATTACTAGCATCTATTTTGAATGAGTAAGACTTCTAGATTTCATTCATCTTCAGATTATTCAGATCATTCTTTAACAAACTCAGTGACAACAACGGACGAAAATAACTCATTTACTGATTACAACGATGAAGAAGAAAATACTCCTATGACTAACAACTCATCAGCATCAGATTCCCAAAGTGACGAGTCAATATCGAAAAATCCTCAACAAAGCACTGCTAAACCAAAGGCACCATCTTTCAAACCACCGTCGTTTACTTTGGGAAAAGATCAACCACACAAGGCATACCCAGGGGTGGGGGTGGCCACAATCACATCTAACAAAAGAGTTGCATCACCATTATCTCAATCACCGGTATTGAAAGCAGTACAACCTCAGCATCTTCCCGCATCCAGTGGTATATGTCCTTTACCACCGCCACAACATCGGCTTGAAAGCAACAAGAAAACCCCATCTTCAGAACAATTTGCCCCATCACCAATTCCCAAATTAGACACTGTGCAGTCTACACTTCAGCAAAACCTACATCACAATGACAATTTACAAGATCTTTTGAAGTTTCCCACAGAGTCGTCGCATGCTTATTCATATGCTCATTTATCTCCCAACTCATTGGCACTTCGACTCAATGTATTGAAACGTTCACTAGAAATTTTAAAAGATCGGCCTGAATTGTTCAAATCTATAACTAATCAGGACAATTTCGACGAAGAATCAACACCGCTACAAAAATCCATAACTAGTACAATTTTGGATGACAGTGCGCTAATGGAATCATCTGCACAGGGGACAACAGCTGGTGTTTTCACTCACCCGAACCATAGTGCAGATTATATAAATGACATATCTTCACCTACCACTGCTTCTTTTTCCATGGATAAGAAAAAGTATAAACTTCAATCAAATGCATCGTCAGCGGCTTTGGCAGCTTTATTCAAACCTTCATTACAAAGATCGGATAGTCTCCCCAATGTAACTAGAGAAACACGAAAGTTTTCAGCACCGCCGAATTTGCAACCCGATACAATCAGTGAGAAGAATAAGAAGAAAACGCAACAGTTGAAACATCAACAACAACAACAACAACAAGAATCAGTAGATGACTATAAAGATATTATTAGCCTACTAGAGCATGACTTGGACTCCTTGATGGAAAACACACAAGTTGCCACATCACTACATGATTTATCACTCTCGACACATGAGGATCAAAACAAAATCAAGTACGACATTTTGAAAAAGAAGTTGATTTATGCCTTGGCTATGCCGTTTGTTGAAAACTCAACCAAGACTTCTGAGTTGTTGGAGAACAGCATAAAAGAGGATCCAACATCTACGGCTTCACCAATGAAGACTACGTTTTCGACAGTTGCATTATCAGAGCTTGCAAGGATTGATCAAATGAACAACAACAAAACAACGACTCAATCGCCATTAACTCCGACATCTGCATCGAAACAAGAACAGTTTAATGCTAAACGGCCATTCAATTCCATGCTCACAAGCAAGTATTCATCACCACAATCGGTGTTTACTGTTGAGGCCGACTTGCCATGGTCAGTGAAGGCTGCAAACGATTTGGCGTGTCTCATGTTTGGAATTTCAAAAACAACAATTAAAGCGTTGACGTTGATGGATTTGATTGCACCACAATTCCGTGACTTTGTCTTATCAAGAATAACCGAGTACACTTTTGAAAATAGCCGCAAGGATTCTATATTGTTTGCTGGAGAAATTGTTGCCATTGTTCGACCTGGTGATCAAAATTATTCATGGACTTCACTTTGGGCTAAGAAAAAGGGTAATTTGATTATTTGTATGTTTGATCAGATACCGTGCGATGCATTTGATGTGATTATTCTGAGTGCTGGTGGTGTCAAGGATAATGGATTTTTTGGCAACTCTTATACTATTGATAGCTTTCATGAAATTGCTGGCAACTTGATTTCAGCTCATGGACTAGATGCGGTCAGGAAATTGGGTGACTTTAGTGACACCATGAGTAATGAATTGATGAATTATAGGTCGAAATCAGCTGGCGACGATGTTGAGAAAAGCGCAGCTCATGATAGTGAGTTTATCAACCACACAAGGTACTTTACTGTACAAGTTGACCAGGGAAGCGAAAGCATCCCGTGTGCCATTACGTCAACAGCCCTTTTATCGAATGACGATACCAAGTCACAAATCAAATTGAAAATCCATTCGATGCCATACATCGCTGGTATATTTGTCTTGAATGCAACCGACTTTACCATCTTATCGTGCAACAACGCAATAGCTAAGAATTTGTTTGGTAGATCGGCAAAGTATTTGCGCAATCGTGGCATTGACGAATTGATACCAAACTTTACAAAGATATTGCATGTTGGTCTTGAAAAAAACGTGGAAACTTTTCAAGTTGTCAATGGATTGGTGTTGCCTGAACATTTCTTTAGGAAATACGATTCAGTCATAAAGTATCAAGAACAGTCTACCAAAGAGAATGAATCTGAAGAAGATATTTTTTTCAAGTGTCCTGGAATTGAAGGTAAACATCGTGATGGGAAAACTTTGTATGTCGATGTTCAAGCTCGTGTGTCTACGGAAAATGCCTTGATCTTGTGGGTGACTTACTCACGAGGAAAGAGGGATTCAAGCTTACCGAATGAGTTTGAAGCGTTGAGCTCCTCGACTTCGTCGATGTCGTTGGCTTCCACCGATGATCAATCGGTGGGGTCAGTACCTTCGCGTACACAAACACAGTCAAACTTGTTGAATCTGGGCGAAGGAGTACAGCTTCATTCCCATCACATACCACCGCTCACCACACAGGCACAACCACAGGCACAACCACAGGCACAACCACAGGCACAACCACAGGCACATGCACATGCACAACCACATGCACAGGCACAGGCGCAGGCACAGCAGCAGCAGCATCTCTTACACCCCCACCATGCGGCAATTGCTCGTACCAGAACTCATACTGGTGGGTCGACCGCATCTGTCAACAATATCCCATCCCAACGTAAGTTGTTCGAAGATGGTAAAGAGGAGGATTTGTTGGAGTTCTCGCCAAGGGAAGTGACACGGTCACTGAGTACTCGGAGAGTGAAAACTCTGTCTTTTGCTGCGCCCATGTCTGGATTGGACAGTTTTATCTACAAGAAAACCAAAGCTGATGAGATTAGAGACACCAGTACTGCAAAATCCCAAGATACCGAATCTATTGATCTGAGGGATATGGTGACTCCTGATGATTTAGATTACAACATTTCCTCGACGGTGTATTCTGAGGAGGAGATTTTGGCATTGGAGAATAAATCGCTATCTACAATCCAAGCCGAATCAACACACTGGCCCAAAGCTGTTGGGTTGGCCAGACGCACAAAAAAGTTTTCCGAATTCAAAATTATTAAACAAATGGGTGAAGGTGCTTATGCCAAAGTTGTCTTGGCTCAGCATAAAGAAGATCCAGTATACAAAATTATCATCAAGTGTATTGACAAGGAGCGTATTCTTGTTGATACGTGGGTACGTGATCGGAAATTAGGCACCATCCCCAGTGAGATTCAAGTTATGGCCTTCTTAAATTCAGAGCCACATCCAAACATTGTCCGCATACTTGATTTTTTTGAAGATCTGAAGTACTATTACCTTGAAACCCCCATTTTTGGGAACCCGCCCGCGATTGATTTATTCGATTTCATCGAAGTGAAGAAGGACCTTTCGGAATATGAGTGTAAATTCATCTTTAAGCAGATTGTATCGGCAGTGTACCATTTACACAAGGAGGGCATTGTACATCGCGACATCAAGGATGAGAACATCATTGTTGATGAAAAGGGGTTTATCAAGTTGGTTGATTTCGGGTCGGCTGGGTATGTCAAACAGGGCCCCTTTGATGTGTTTGTGGGCACTATAGATTATGCGTCTCCTGAAGTGTTGCGAGGTGAGAAGTATGAAGGAAAACCTCAGGATATTTGGGCATTGGGGATCTTGTTGTACACGATGTTGTATAAGGAGAATCCATTTTATAATGTGGATGAGATCTTGGAGGGTGATTTGCGGATCCCGTATGTTGTGGGTGAGCTGAGTTTGTCGCTCGTAAAGCGGATTTTGGTGCGTGATGCGGATAAGAGACCTACGATTACTGATATTTTTGAGGATGATTGGTTAAAGTTTTAGAAGTTGGCGAAGAGAGGGAGAAAGAGGTGGCGAGATTTCGTGTATAGATATAGGCTTTTGCATTATAATTTAGAATACTTTAGAATTAGATATACAGAGTGATTTAGCCGTGCATTTGGGAAATCATACAGATTTATATATATATATACATGGGGAGTGGAAGTGGGAGTGGGAGTGGGAGTGGAAGTGGGAGTGGGAGTGGGAGTGGAAGTGGGAGTGGGAGTGGGAGTGGAAGTGGGAGTGGGAGTGGGAGTGGAAGTGGGAGTGGGAGTGGGAGTGGAAGTGGGAGTGGGAGTGGGAGTGGAAGTGGGAGTAGAAGCGGTTGCTATGTTCACCTTAACCAAAGGTAATACCATTTCCGACTTTCTCTTTGTCTCCTTTCTTCTTCCTCAACCCGCTTTACTCTCTCCTGCTCTTCCCTTTGCCTCGCTATTTCATATTGGTCTTCAATCTTAACTTCAACTGGTTTACCATCCTCACCGACATTCTTATCACGATAAATGGCAACCATGGCAATGAAAACAATCAAGTAAATGCAAAATTTAGTAGCTGGGTCCATTTTCTTATAATCAAACTGATCAATCCTCACTGGCGTTTCACTCAACTTCACCATCTCCAATGGCTTCACCACATCAGTAGGAGCTGGGTCCACTTTGCGTATTTCACTTGGTACACGGAAAGGTAAATCCAAAGGTGCCGAATCGGGTTGGCTCCAATTGGTGAAATGTTCACGAACACCCCAATTCCCATACGAGATATAGTACCCCAACAATTTATCCTTGCGTTGCAACTTGTGCCAGTTCTTGTCGTACTTCAGTTGCAACTCCGCCACGACTTGGCCCTGGTGCAAGAGCGACAAGTGTGGGAATAGTTGTGGGTTGGCGTATATGGGACTGGTGTCTATGGGTTGAGTGGCATCGTCAGACGAGGATGATGATGATGGGTCGGATGGTGATAATAGTGATCCAACGTCTTTTAGGGACTGGAGTGCGAGTTGGGCTGCTTGGGCCTTTTTTTCCGGTTGGGAATTGGTTGTTGATGAGGATGATGTTGTGGCTAGTCTTCTGAACGTGAATAAGGACATGGGTAGATGATGCAGTTGGTGTCTATTTTTGATACTGGCGTGTTTGAACTTGAACTTGAAATTTTCTTTCCTTTTTTTTTTTATTTTTCATTGAGGATTTGATTACGTACTGTATTACAAACCAAGTTGGAAGTTTGGTTGCAAATTCATACTATGCACTGTATATATTTGTGGGAGCCACATTACGGTGAACTGAAGATACCAAAAGGTAACCAGGGCTGTGTACTTGGGGTAAATACCATCAATGAAGTGACAGTTTCGCGATTTATACAGCATGAGTGCAGTGTCCATAGTGTACATAAATCTCTACATGCAGTATTTTTACACCCACCCACTTTTCTAACTGTTCACAACCAATTCTCATACATTTATATTACGCATATTCACCAACTCTTAGTGGGTATTGGGTGTGACCTTGTGGCCTAGTTGTACCGATAAGTAGTAAGAGTCAATACAGGTGGACACTAAATTGTAAGTTATTGAGTGTGGATAAAAACAACTATTAAACTGGGTAGAGATACTAAAGAATTGCAAACCAAACTAGCTTCAAAGCACCTTCAATATTGTGCTTTACCGAGACAAATTAACGAATCGGGAAATCGGATGTAGTTTTATGGCTTTTGAAACTGTTAGAACAGCCCCTTCTATGTTTTCTCATCGTTCACCTGGTTACCGACAGTCGACTCTTCATCAACACGATGAGAATTATAGTCTCTATCCTTATTGGCATCAACACCAGTGCTAAAGCCAGTACAACTCTTTACACTCGATGCTGTATCAGCATTGAACAAGGTTCCCCAAACGTAAGTTGTCTTCTGCAACAAATGTCTACCTCCAAAGGTTTTAGCTTCTGGGATTAAACTGTGCTGGTAGAACACGGCAAGTTCTGTATTAAGCACAACGTAATTCAATATCGAGAACGCCAAAATTGCTTGATTAGCACGACAAGTATCAATTGAGTCTCGCATATAAATCGATTCATTACAATTTTTGGGGAAATCAGCAGTGACAGCAACCCAAGCGGCAAGGTAAAGGGCCCAAAGTATAACTTGACAAGTCAAAACGAGAACAGTTGGAGTTTGACCGGCAAACACGCTTGGTGCAATGAATGCAACATATGCTAACCAGATGATATCAAGGATGGCAACAACCAAGTTGAGAGTGACGCTGGGGATGTTGGAGTTATAGCCTGCTAAAACACCGGCACTGAGGCCCAATACAACGACACTGAACAAAAATTCAGCTGATCTCAAGATAATGCTGACTGTTTTTCTTGTGATGGCCATGACAAATGATCTTTATTAATAAATAAATTTGTAGATAAAATCGTATTTGTAGATATGATTGTAATTAGTGACGTTTTTAGGGAAGCGAAATATACGGCTATATATATATATATATATGGCAATGAGATGGTCAACCACAACGAATTTGAAATAAATTAATGAGAGAGTGTTCAGGGTCGTTTGTTGGCTGTGCATCCAAATAAATGACTAAGAAGAGTCAACAATGGAATCACACTTTAATGTGGTTGGGAAACGTACTGCGGCCCTTCTCTTACACGGCGTTAGGAGTTTAATTCCGAACACACATGGAGTTTGTGGATTCTGCGCAAAAACAATGGCGTCTCCACCAAGGGCTTCATGAACGCCGTGTGCTCGTGATAAGAATAAGTTGCGCGCGGCGGCTAATGCAGGCGACTAGAAAAATAAACAATATCAAAGTAAGGGCACATAATCTTTTAACTTTTTTTTTTCTTGGCATTTCCTGGGTTGCAACTGTGTGATTCCAGATGATGATGGGCTAAGGCTATGTAGAAAGATAAGCAGGTAGGGAAGCTTGGACATGGGCGCCACACCTTTATTCAATAAAAACGGTGAATCTGACTGTAACTAGCTGTTCCCCGCTAAATCATTACATCTCCTAGCCAGCAGATAGATGGGAACTCAGAGACTTTACTGGGATTACGTCATCGTGTTTCGATTATCACCCTCTTAAAGTAATGAGATACGAAATATACCAGACAATACGGCCAAGAAATTTATCCTTTTAAACAATACAAATAACTTTCCACGTGCAGAACAACAAAGCTTACGAGGGCTCCATGAAGAATAGAAAACTGGTAATGGAAAAGACGGTCAAAGCAAGCAGTAAGTCTCCAGCAGAACTTTCACCGCGGACACTATGCGCTACTAGAGCCATTAAATAACGAAGTTTGAAATGCCCCATCGAGTTGAGTTTTCCATTTATTCATGAAGAAGTAATACCTTTCCATACTTTTGGAACGATATGGGGAAGGATTAATGGAAAAAGGGGTCACAAAAGTGGTATTGATTCTGTGTGTATAAATAAAAAAAGGCTGCATACATATCATACCATTATGAGGGCCACTGTGGTCGATTAACGAGTAACGTCATTTAATAGGTTTAGTAATGTCTGAATGAGAGCAAGCGTGTTCTATCATCAACATTATCTACGTCATGAAGTTTTCCATTATTTTTATTGTCACTCGCAACCACTGCCTTTGCAAGTGAAGAAGTATGTCGAGGACTATACCATTTCGACACAGACGAAGTGGAACGGGACTTTGACCTGATGGTCCAACGATCATATGAGCGTACAGAGTCATAAATCAAGTCCCATAACCCAGCGTTGAATGATTATTTCAAATTCACACCGTGGATGTACGCAAGACTAGAACCGTACACAAAGCAGATGTATGATGTGGGCATAAAAGTTTCGGAGTCTACAAGCTACAGCCTAGAGCAAATTGATGAAGCAGCTCTCAGGACAAAGGATAGTTAAAGACAGCGATGGGGTCCACATTATCTATTATTGCATTTGAGCAAACCAGAAACAAGAGCAGGCTGCTCAACGAAAACCATTTGATAAAATGGTAAGCTTAGCATCGGAATTTAAACCTGCGATTGAATCTGAAAATAGGCAAATCAGTACCTGACAATCAAGATACCAGTTTCAAGGGTCTTAATTGAATACTTTGCTTTAGAATAGGTAAAATATATACCGTCCATGACTTCCCTTGTAGGCATGTAATTCGTGCATAGAAGGTTTAAGTTCTGGTTCAATAGTGACTTCTCTAGGGGCTGGGTAGGACATGATGAGTTTTGAAGTTTCACTAGGTAACAACTCAAGCACGTTCCTTTACTGCGACTGACATCAGGGATAAATCATGTGGGCGTCATGTCATTATCGAGAGACTCCACATGTTGATATAAGCTGTGGTAAAAAACAGAGTTTTTGTCTGCGAAATCATTTTTTTTTTTTTTTGCGTGAACCAATTTTGAGAAAAGAGTTACTGGTGCCCACAAGAGAATTCTTTTACGTTGTCCACAGGTCATGAATAAGCAAACGCTCGACGAAGGCAACGAGGATCCACTTACAGGCACGTTCAAAATACTAGATCGAAGTACAAATATCGAGATCAACATCACACCGATTCACATGATCAGTTTGCACTCTTTACTCCCGCTGATACCCACACAAACTTCCCTCGATTCGCCCCAGAGCCTACTATCGGAGCTTTCAAACGACAAAAGTGAACAATCAGCCCTAGAACCAATCATGCATATCTTTAAATCTAGTAAGAAACTACGACGTGATTGTTATTGGTTGTGTGAGTTGAAGTTCAAAGTTGATGACAAGTTCAATCACTGGGGTGCGATGTTTCCGCTACTGAATGCGGAGGATGACATCGGCGATAATGAACAGAATAAGGATGGAGGTAGAGATGAAGCTGGCTGTTATTTTGGTGTGTTTAAGGTGAAAGAACCAATTTTGGAGGACAAAAATGCCGATGAGACATACCACTTTGCAAATGAACAAGATTTGACGGCAATCGATGAGTTTTCACTCAATGAGAAAGAGGAGGAGCTACAGACTAGTGAAACTAGCGAGTCAATAGAGCCGTTTTCGATGCAACCACCAACAAGGCCACAGAATGATTCGAGTAAAAATGGGTTGGTTTCCCACGCGGATTCTTCTTCCACCTTCTTGTCTCCTACCAAACGCGAAGACAGTCAAGATCCATTGCAGTTCCTAACTAATCGATACTACCATTCGTTGTATTCCCTTAATGAACCCTTAAGTTACTTCTCCAAAACTTCTTTACCTCGATTCAAGAACCTTTGCGAGGGAAACGACTCGCTTATCTTAACTATTCTTGACTCATTAATATTGAACATGGACAAGTTTGACTTAAGGTACGACGGGAAGTCTAATGGGGAGCTCTTTGCAAGCGAGGCGAGCAGTTCACTGGGTTGCGAATTCCAGCATCGAGAAAAGTTCAGACAGAGAGTTGGGTTTAGCGTTAAACGAAACGTTGAAGGTGATGGAAAAGAAGATAGCGTTAATTCTGGAGTGGGGCTGTTACACCTTGATGGCATTGATAATGAGAAATTGCAGAGGTTGACGTTGGAATTGAAAGTTCGTGAAGCCCAGCTACAAATAATACTCCTATTTGAAGCTTTCCAACTTTGGAATATAGATGAGGACGAGTTCTTGAAGCAAAATTTACAAAAACAGAATGAGTTGATGAAGGAAAGTCAAGACCAACTAAAAGCAAGCTTAGTTCGTGCTCGAAAAAGGCGGAGAACCAACACGAAGAAATCAACTAATGGGCATCAGGAAAAGAAGGAGAGTAAACGAGTTAAACCAATTACTTTGCTGGGCCCAGAGTCACTGAATGAGATGCTGAATCGCGGGTTTGCTTATTATTTGTATTTAAATAAATTGATTGATAGGTTGAACTTGTGGGAGGTGTTGATGGTGCCCGACAAACATGGCATGCAAGGGGGCCGTAATGTCGTTGCCAATGGCAATAGTGGGGGATCTTCATCTAGTTATGGGTTTTTGGCGTATGTCTTGGTGCCGTATTATGGTAAAACATTACCGCTCTTGATGAAATATGTGATTCGCAACATGAAGAATACAAATATGGAATTGACTTCGAAGGTGAAGAAAAAAAGCCATAGCAAAAAGAGAACAAGCTCTAGGACTCTGTCTGCTACAGACATATCAGCAGGGTCTGATAAAACCCCAATTGAGGATGGCACAAATAAAGAGGACGGCGTTGGTGAAGAGAAGGAATCTAAAGTGAAACGGAAATCAATCGTTTCCAGTGACAACAATGACACATTGATCAAGGACATTTCAATTGCATCTTTGAAAAGATCAAAGTCAAATCTTGGAGGACAATCGTCTCGTGAATTATTGGACAAACGACAAGTTGATTTGAATTTCAAACCGCCACAATTGAAGAAGCAACTTAGCTCGAATTTGGATAATGGCGGTGCAATTTTGTCGACAAATTCATCGTCGTCGCTCATTTTTGGCAAAGCTAGAAGGAGCAGGACTTTGCCTAGAGTGGGATCCACATCCGAAATCACTCCACTGATGAATGTCGCGCAAACTCCTATGAAAGGAGGTCGTGAAGTAGTTCCCAATGGGACTAGCATTTCTGATAGCAGTCGCGATTTGATGATGCCATTTTCTCAAGTTGACGCCACGCCAGCGAAACAAAGAGTAGTTGACTTGGAGATATTTACACCGGCTCGTAAACATCATGCGTTGGAATCACCTGTGAGTAGTACCATGAAGAAACAAGCACCAAACTCCATTTTTACTAGTCCTGCAAGTGCCAATGACGCATCGACATTTTTGAAACCTGCGTCTGGTCTGATGGCACAAAGATTGCAATCTGTGGCATTGGGTATTGTTCCTGATGCTGCAAAAACCACGTATCTTCAAGAGGAAACGTCTCTGGTTGCATTTACGCCGAAGAAAAGGAGCACCGATCAGACTGTGACGATGCCTAGAGACTCTCCACATGATTTGATTGTGGAAGCTACTCCCCAACGTAATCAACACAACACTCCACAACTGAAAGCTCCTCCATATATTTCAATCGTTGAAAGTACTCCTGTGCAAAGTAGTGCTAAGCTTCTGGCCTTATCCAAAGATACTGCTGATACGGTAGTTCAAGCAACACCTCAACAGCAGCGCTCCCCACAACAGCATATCCAAACACCAATTATAAAGCACAATCAAGAGAGCCAGTTCAAGTCGCCAATTGCATTACAAAAAAATGGCAAATTTTCATCACCACTGGTTCAAAAAACGAAACCAGGTGATCCCGTTGCCATTAATGAGTCACCGATATATAATGCGTACGCCACGACTGGATTGCTTTCGTTACGAGGCAAAAGCACCGCAGAAGAAGTCAGCGATGACGAAGGCGATGCCGCATATGATTCAGACGAGATTCTCAATCCCAAAAAGAGGAAAATGAGAGCTACTTATTCACGACGATAGCCTCACTCTTTTTGTTAGCATTATTTTTTTGTAACATTATAATGACATGACGAGAAAACGTAAACACTTTGTAGATTATTTACACTCTACACTGCTACTTCACCAAAAAACACCCCTCTTACTATATGCTTTGCATCCGATTGTTCTAGCACCAAGTCTGCCAATGGCTCCCCAATTCGTTGTTTCAATTTTTCCTTTATTTCTTCCGACAACCCAATAGACCCATCCACATCCACATCCACATCCATGGCATCACCATCACTTCTGACATGATCAAGTTTCACACTGAGTTTCCGTAGTATCTCAAGCACGGTATTTATCAAAATTTCCCGTTCAAATTGGGACTGGTTTGTTTCGATTACTGACTTGTACCAGATTTTCAAATTCCCCACAAGAACCAACTTCAACACCTCATTACCGAGATTCTTCAATCCCAACAAGGCACCGTATTGTGTTCCCACGGGTTTTGTTGAGTCGAGTAGTGCACGCAATAACGTTCGCGTTACTCTTGGACGTAATGTGGAATAGGATGATCCGTGCGTTTTGATGATATGTTCGAGCAAAATAGCGGCAAATTCACGCACGGCGAGCTGATTTCTCAATGCTTCTTGATAATTGTCAGAGGATTCTTTGACAATGGGACCGATACGTTTTGCCAATAATAGAGTCAAGATGCATGGCATCAATGCGTGGACGTAGGGGTCGAGGAAAATCGTCTTGTTGTCAGCTAAAGCGGATATGACTTCTAACATGGTTGATAATATTTCAATGTTCCTCAATTCGTTGGTGATTTGTTCAGCCACGAATTGAATGAAATAGGGTACTAGTTGGTGCAACCCGGGGTCGGATTTTAAGGAAGTCAATGCGGCATTTTTCAAGCTCTCCTTTTCAGGGTCAGTAGATATTAAAACTTCAACGACTTTGTCAAAGTATAATTTCAACTCTTTGGAAAGAACGTGCTTGACTAGTGGTTTGGTGTCAAAATTCTTGTCAGTTGGATTCTTACTCTTTGGTCCATCATCAGCACCATCCTGACCATCAGTAGAAGAACTACCTCCCAAGGTCAAGATGTCGTTACCCAAATATGACGAAGTTGCACCTCGAATTGCTGGAGGCAAGTTCTTTATATCTGAAGGTAAAGGATTCTGCGGAACCATGGGCTGGACTCCCTCGATAGCTAACCAGTGAGCAGTGAAATTGCACCTTCGAGGCACTTTGGGTAACTCTTGATTGATCAATTTTTCAAACTCCAATTCTTGATCATCGAGATAATACAACGTTTGACCACCGGCTCCAACCATTGTTTCTTTGAAATTCAACGGTTGCGAGTTATCGTATCCGTACAAAGGTTCGACATTGAGGATTTTCAACGCATAGTCTATGTCACTGGTCATAAGCATTTTTCGTTTTGAGTGACGCATGAACTTGATTGCCAATTCAAGTATTTCGTGAATACGGTATTCGACATCCATGGCGAGGTTTTTGGCAGTTTCGTCAGGGAGATTGATCCCTAATGAGTCGGCTGCATCTTTGACAGTATCGTATGGTGACCATAGGGAGTGTGATAAAGGCACCCTCGTGTCCATTGTGGATGTAGTATTCTTTTGTTGTGTTTACCTGGTTTGGCTTGGTTGTTGTCGTTGTTTGGTGGATATCCAGCTTCTTTTTTTTTTTCACTCTCTCTTTTTGCTTTTGTTCCACGCACACGACAAACTAGTGCCAGTGCATTACCAAAGGTCCAGGAATAGAGTATACGTGTTTGAACTGCACATGACCAGTTGTTGAATCGTTACATCACATTAGACCATTTCTATTTACATTTAGTATTAGCTATCAACAAAGTCTATCAAATAAGAAAACAATCCGCTTTTCTTTCATTCAACAACTTCAACTTTCCCCTAATCAAGTAACCTTGGATTAGCATCGGTTACTTTCTTTGTAATACTTCTATAATCAACGTTTTCCTTCAAATTTGCAAAATGTGGAACTTCGACAACAATTTCATTTTCGAAATGTGGATCTTCTTCAGTGGTGATTCTTGAAACTTCCTTGTACACACTAGCCTCTCTGATCCAACCTCTAATGAAATTTATGCAAGCTCCATTATGTTGCATATAGTTTTTATAAGTCTTGACTAGTGACAAGTACAATCCCAATCTCTCACTAGTCTTGTAGTTCTCCGAAAATGCAGTTGCTGCACGAAGGGCAGACCAATCGGCATTAGCAATGTATTTGTAATTTTCAGCATCCAATTTGTTCAACAAGTTGTTCCACAATTGTAAAATCTCCCGTACTGAATAATCAACTTGTCCTGCTTGTTTCAAAATGACACGATGGGAAATAATACTCTTGTCAACATTAAATTTATCAAAGGCATCAACAACATCCTGAACCAAGCTTTTCTCTGTCCATTGCATATTTGAAATCAAAGTGTTTAGAAATACTTCATCAATCTTGGGTGATTTGGTGAAAATCAATTTCAAAAGCTTGATTGATTCTTCATTTGGTTCGGGAAACTTGTTAAAGAATAACTTGAATAATCCGGCATTGATCGTAGCCAGTTTAGATGAATTGGTAGCTGCGCTAGTTTCTCCATAGTGAGTAGAGATGCGACTCCACAATTCAACAACTTCCTCCATTGAATCGCCAGCATTGACGCAATTTTCCAAAAATGACACCATATAAGGTGCTTTCAAAACAACAACATAAGGCAAGGAATCAGCACTGTCAACTGCCTTGTCAAAAAATCTCTTGGCAATAACAGTATCCTTACATTGTCCGATAAATGACAAGTGCAACTGAGCCAATCCTCCCAATATGGATTTTTCCTGTGGGTTTTCCTCATACAATGTCATCAATTCCTCTAAAGCATCCAATCCTCTGGCATGATCACCCTCCATAATGGCAACTTGACCCATTCTGTCTGATAAAAACGGGTGTACTGGTTCATTTTCACTGACACTCATGTTATAAATCAGCTTAATTTCTTCATAGCTAAAACGTTTAGTTTCATAAGCCACTTGAAGTACAATTGACAAGACGTCATGACTTAAATACAATTGACCAATTCCATTATTGGCCTTTTCTGATTGACTAACTCCAGTCTCCCATAGATTCATAATTTCAGGGTTCAACTTAAATTGCAACAAAGTTCCAAAGATTTTAAACAAGATACGGCTTGACAATACATTGTTGAAGTCGCCTGATGCAACCAACTCAGTTACATTCAATATAGCTGTTTGGTAAATGAAATCTTCCTTGAATGCACTGGCTTGGTCCTTATCTCTGTTTCTTGAATTAGCCAATCTAATTTTTCTCAGCGTAATGGTGGCACTGTATAAATTTGCCACGTATCTGTACAAGTCTTTTTCAGACATCAGCTGTCTGAATTTCTCATCTTGGATTAAGGTGGAGATTTCTTCAATATCTTTGTTATAGGTGTTGTTATCTCTTGGACTCCAACGACTCATGTAGTTTGGTTGATGGTATTTATGTTCATAGTATGGAAACTTTTCCTTGAAGTCGTTGGCAATTGGTTTCTTGTCTTGGAACGGGGACAGGATAGTACTGCTACTGGTGGCAGTAGTTGCGGAGGAGTTGTTTCTAAAGAAAAGCTTTGAGTCGAGGGAAGTGGTTGTAGTGGTGTTTGCGGTGCTGGTGGTGGTGGTTGTAGTAGTAGTAGTAGTTGCAGGAGATCCATTTTTGGCTAATTTGATCTTCAGGATGAGCGAGGGCCGTAACCCCTGTGAAGAAGTGTTTAATAATCTAAACATATGGTGTTATTGCCAGATGGGTAGACTATAAGTGGGCGGTAAATAAAGCTGAACAAGCTAGTGGGTGTATATATATATATATAACTATGCAAGTGAAGTTTGTTTGTATGTTCTTCTCTCTGTATTCCTTCTCTTTTTTGAAGGAAAAGGAATAGGAGAAAAAAAAAAATTTCTTTTTTTGTGATATTCTTTGTGACTTTATATAACAGAGACAGAGACATATAATATATATATATACACACACATACACACACACACACACACATACACACACACATACAGAGAGAGAAGGTAAAGAACAGGTGATTTCTATCTTTACACTTTTAAACACAGAGCACAACAAAATATCAATTCATAGCTACACTGTCACCCGTAAGATATTGTTCTATCTATATCATCCTCTATCTCCTGACTGCTATTGACTCTTGGCCCGCTATCATATTCTTTTTCACAACCCCCTATAACTGATCTTTAGTAGTCTACATTCCACGCTTAGGTTGGAAATGTCACTCTATTTCTTTTAAAAGAACTCCTCTCCATTAACGTCCAGAAACAAAAAGAAACTATACAGGTGTCACACTTGCTTATCAATTCAATCTATCGGATGTTGTTGGTCCTTTTGGAGAGCTGCACATGACGAGAAAGCAGAAAGCAGTTGGACGCTACCATGACATTTCTAATTCTCTTCTCATCCTTCATTTCATCTTTCATTTTTAAGCCTCACACACACACACACACACACACACACACACACTTAATTCAGCAGTTCTCAACACCAGCACCCAAAGGAAAGTATATTCTTCCAATTTCTTTGACCTTACATAGATAGAAATTACGTGTTTGTGTGTAATAATTTATTATTGCTGAAGAGGCACTTTAATTACCCTGTTCTTAAATATGAGCATGAATACTAACCAACCAAACACCAAAGAGTCAAAGGATGAGATTTTGAGAAAACGACGAGAGCAATTAGCAGCATGGAGGGCTAAGAAACAACAAGAAAGCAAACAGCTGTCGCTGCTGTTGTCAGAAACACCGCCATCAACGCCGTCAGAAAGAAGCAACACTTCTGAAGCGGAGAAGAAGCAACGACAACAAAGACTCGAACAGTGGAAAAAGTCACGGTCACAAAAGGTTACCAGTCCACCCATAGACGTATCTCTGAAAACTCCATCGGGTACCACAATTAAAGTTTTGAAAAAGCCACTTGCCCCGATCCAAAAGGCTAAACCCCAACTCAAGAGGAAAATTGATGAATTTGACTTTGATACAGACGATAACCAGCAAAAGAGGTTGAAATTTGTATCACCTGCTTCCTCCTTTGGTGTGCCAAATGATGCTGCCCAATTTAACCCTGAGGCTGATGTTGATGGTAATGATGACGACGAATTAGATGCGTTCATGAAATCAATCAACTCAAACGAAAGCAAAGGTACGACGACGAATGGAGCAACGCCGGAAGTTCAATTAAATTCAGATGACGAGGATGATGACGATGACAACGACGACGAAAGCATAGACGAGGAAGTAGATTTGCAAAAATTGATTGACTCCAAATTGGCCAAGTTGAACAACACCACAAAAGAGCTACAGGATATAGACCATTCTCAAGTAGCTTACCGGCCATTCAAAAAGAATTTTTACAAAACCCCCTTTGAATTGTTGTCAATGTCCGAGGATGAAATGAGTTTGCTAAGATTGGACCTTGATGATATCAGAGTCAGAGGAAAGGATATACCGCCACCGTTCACAAAGTGGTCTCAATTACTTTTACCAGAAAACATAATATCTGTCGTCAATGATCAACTACGTTTTGACAAACCGTCTCCTGTGCAAGCGCAGGCCATACCCATAATATTGTCTGGTCGTGATATGATTGGAGTTGCCAAGACAGGTTCAGGAAAAACTCTCTCGTATGTTCTTCCAATGATGAGACATATTCAAGAACAGCCATTACTGGCCAGTGGAGATGGTCCAGTTGCTATTGTTTTAAGTCCCACTAGAGAATTGGCTTTACAAATTGAACAAGAAGTTTTAAATTTTACTAAAAACAGCGACAAACGAGTGACTTGTTGTTACGGTGGATCCAAGATTGAGAATCAAATCAGCGATTTGAAAAGGGGGGTTGATGTCATTGTGGCCACGCCTGGAAGAATGATTGATTTGTTAGCTGCAAATGGCGGCCGTGTAACCTCGATGAGACGTACAACGTTTGTAGTGTTGGATGAAGCTGACAGGATGTTTGATTTGGGATTTGAGCCCCAGATTAGAAAAATTTTGTCACAAGTGCGTCCTGATCGACAAACTGTACTATTTTCAGCGACATTCCCCAGAAAATTGGAAATATTGGCAAAGCAAGTCTTGTCAGAGCCCGTGGAGATCATTGTGGGTGGCGTGGGTGTGGTTGCCAAGGAAATTGAACAGAAGATTGTACTATTGAGTGAAGAAGAAGAAGATTTCTTTCAACAAAGGGTGACGTTGCTACGTGATTCTGTTCAAGAGCATTTACAAGCTCACGAAAATAGCAAAATACTCATATTTGTTGAGAAGCAAGTTGATGCGGACAAGCTACTTTCCAATTTGCTAGGTTTTGGTTTACCTTGTGTGGCGATCCATGCCGGTAAAGAACAAATTGATCGAAAATATGCTATAAAGGAGTTTTCTTCCAGTGACAGTGGAGTTGATATCCTCATAGCCACATCTATTGCAGCACGTGGTCTTGATGTCAAGAATCTAGGGTTGGTGGTGAACTTTGATGCTCCTGGCCATCTCGAAGATTACGTTCACCGAGTTGGTCGCACTGGTAGAGCTGGCGCTGATGGGGTTGCAATCACATTTGTATCCAAGAAACAGGAAAGAGAGATAAATGTGTTGGTTAAAGCGTTGAAATTGAGCACAAACGAAGTTGATCCCGATTTGCAAGCGATTGCCGATTCATTTAATCAAAAGGTCAGATCGGGTGGTGCTAAAGTAGGGTTTGGCTTTGGTGGTAAAGGCTTGGACAATTTGCAAGAGGTACGCGATAACAAATTGAAGATGGAGAAGAAGATGTATGGAGAAGAGGCAGACGACAATGCGAATGAGCAAGCAAAAGAAAATGGAGCCCGGCCAAGAAGTAAAGACAACACGCCATCCGCGATGTTGACCCTCCCTTCATTTGAAGTTATTGAAGGGAACTCTCCCGAAACTGCCGGTCCAGACAAGTGTAAATTTTTCTGCCGTATTACCATCAATGACTTGCCGCAAAAGGTTAGATGGGACATCGTACAACGTGAACACTTGTCCAAGATTATTGAAGGTAGTAGAACATCAATCACAACTAAAGGGCAATATTATCCACCAACGCATAAGTTCAACCGTGATAAAGATACCGAGCCCAAGCTTTATCTTTTGGTTGAAGGGTTGACCAGGAAATCCATCGAAGATGCGATATCACTAATCAAGGAAAAAATGTTCCAGAGTATTGATTCGATGGCTGCTGATGATCGCAATGGTACATCTGGTAGGTATACTGTGTAGAGTGTTAGGGTACCGAAACATAACGCAATTTTTTTTTTTTCGCAATCGCCGCTTTTCCGTAGTAAATGAGGAAATTATTATCTATTCTTCTGTGGAGATTCTCTTGAGAGTCCTTCTTCTACGAACTAGATTCATATATATGCTGCTGGCGCTAGAAGCAGATGTGATTTATTTGATCTCTACGTCGGTGAGCTTGGCGTGCGCGTTGTTTGTTACCAAAAGCTGCAATGCTTCTGCCGCGGATTTTAAATGAACATAAATGATCATGAAAAAAAAAAATGTCAGAGGACAAAGTATTCATGTTGCAAATTACGTCGCTTTCAATCTGAATACATCTCGCAACACTAACGTGTAGAGAAGTAGTAACATATGTTAATACCCTGTCTTCTCAATTCTCATCTCCGCGCCAGTACGAAGTAAACGGAGGAATTGATTCCTAGGAAAACCCCACATTCCATTTTTTTTTTTTTTCATGCTCGGTTAAATTCAATGCAACAAACACCCTCTTCCAAAAAGAAAAAATAAAAACATACTGGAGTTACAAATTGTACATATAAAGCATCCAAATTCATCTACTACTGATACACAACGTACTTTTCTCTGAGACACTTTACCTCACTCCGTATTCCCACAATGTCATTTGACCCAAAGAATTACGCCAAATACGAGTTTTTCACCATCAGCGCTCTCAGCGAAGGTGTAGCACACGTTCAATACACCAACCCTAAAACTCTCAATGCTTACACCAACCAAAACTGGAGAGACTATGGAGAAATCATGACCAGATTGGACAAGGAAGAGGACATTTCCGTAATTGTTATTTCATCAGGTGTTGCCAGAGCTTTTTCATCGGGGTTGAATATCAAAGAAGGAGCAATGACGATGAAATTCGATGGAGCTACTGAAAAGGAAAGACTTGCCAAATTTGAAGAGTTTATTGTTGAGTTCCAAAACGCTTGTACTGTTCCGGCACGTATCAGTACCCCCACCGTTGGGATCTTAAACGGTATCAATTACGGATTAGCCATTGATCTCGCTAGTGCCTACAGCATCAGGATCGGAGTTGAAGGGGCCCGGTTCTCCATTGCTGAGGTCAACATTGGTATTGCTGCCGATATGGGGTCATTACAGAGAATGCCAGGTATTGTCAACAACAAATCGAAACTTTTCCAACACGCTTTACTTGGTGATGTCTTTGATGCTAAAGAGGCCCTTGAGATGGGGTACCTTAGTACTGTTGTGGACTCTGTCGACAAAGGTCTTGAGTTGGCTGGTGCTTGGGGTGCTAGAATGGCTCAAGCTCCACAATGGGCTATCAAAGGTACAAAGAAACATATTCAGGATATTTTGAGTGGAAAATCAACTGACGAGGGTTTGGCTGATATTGCAAAGTACAACGCCGAAAACATTATGCGCGTGATGAAGTTGTAAGTATTTTTGAATAGATTAAGCAGAGTGGTTTAGAGTGAATGAAATACAGTTCAAGTTCATAGTAATACCTCTCCATATCCTCTGGTAGCGTGAGAACAGGTTTTGCGCTAATGCCGATGATTGAAAAAAAAGACCAGGTAAAAAAAAAAAAAAGAAAAAAGAAAAAAGAGAAAAGAAAAAGAGCAGCTGATTGGAAAATTTTCGAACTTGGTAAATCATAGAAGTGAAGCATACAGTTTGAGACCAGATGGCGCATGTGTTGAGATATGGACCCAGACAAAGAGAACTTTTGCATAAATTGTCTCGTAATTATACATCGTACAGCATCAGTGTAAACGATGCAGTTACACGAGCCCATGACAATCTGGTATCTCATGCATCATCAACCACTACACAAACCGTTAATGAAACTAGCCCTACAAGGCTACCGTCAAAGAGTTTGACTGAGTCATATGAGATAAGCTCTGTATTTGCATCCAACGTGGAACCAACAAGGGAATTGCAAATCAAGAACGAATTGATCATGTTGAGCGAACAAAAGAGCTTTGAGAAATTGGTCAGTGTGCTAGAGACATGGTCCTCACGTGATATTGACGGAATGGTCAAGACATTGGGCAGGGAGTTGATTGCGCTGTATTTGAAAGACATTATCAAGGAAAATAGGAAACGACAAGTGAAGAAACACTCACTTTCACCAATCCAAAAATCAAACAAGTTGATGAAGATGATTCAAAAGTTGACTGATTCAAGTGATTTCACAGTTGAAAATAAATTCACAAATGAGATTCGAAATGTGTATCGAAACTTGATTTACCGTGGTCGAAATGAGCATTTTTACAACAAGGACAAACGTCAAGATATATATCTGGGGAACAATTTAACTGGATACAAGTTGATACCGAGTGATTTTGAGAATTTGATGGAACTTGAATTGGGCAACTATAAACTTGATTTAGCATCTAGGTGGTTTCAAATTTTCCGTAAGCAGCATGGAGATCAATGGAGGCAACATATGACGCCAAGATTATGGACACTAGCATTCAAGATTGATGGAATGGGAGATAATAGATTCTGGACTATTAAGGAAACCGACTTGTCTAGTTATTACAAGAATCCACTCAGAAGTCGGTTCAACCCTAGAATGAAGGTGGATTTGATGGATGTGCAGTATGATTTGCAAGATCTTGATTTGGAATTTCATGCATCTGTGATCCAATCTTTTGCTTACTCTGGACAACTCAATGGCATTAAATCGTATGTGCTGGGAATTTGGGGTGTTGATCAAAATGGAAAATTGAGTCTGTCGCGGACAAAAGTTGGCCTGTTAACCCATTTGTATCCAAGTACTGATTTCTTAACTGCCTTGTTTGCGTCATTTGCATACAATGGGGAGTTTTTTTCTGGTATAAAGTATATTAATGCGTTCCAACTTGCATATGATGAAATAGATAGCGATGGCGTGAAAAATAAGGTGTTTTGGGAGCAAGTTTTCAAATGGGCCAATGTCTCCACCTTGTTTGAGGAGTCGCGAGCACTAAAGTATTTCTTAACCAAGAGTAATTATTCAAGAGGAAACAGTGTCGATTTGAAAGATGCTCAAAATGATGCTAGTTTTGACTATGTTGGGTACTTGCAATTTATTGACAGCTTGAAATCTGAAAGAGTAAAGACGTTTGATCAGTTGTGGTCAATTATCCAGAATGATAAAGAGCATTTACCATTTTCCAATCTGATATACAAGGCGTACTTGGATGTTTTAAAAGAAGCACCAGAAGAGTCAAAATTGTTTGCGTATTTAACAAGTCTTTTAAAAGAGTACTCGAGGTATCATGTCAAGACCAACACATTTACGAAACGCTCCGGTATGGGATTCTTCCCAACTAATGGGATAAGCCACTCGATACGTGTATTGTATACGGAAGCTATGAAGTCGTTGGTTGAGTTGAAGGGAACCTCAACTTTTCTTGGCCAGATCCAGCCCTTGATTAGCAAATGGAGTATTGATGAGCCCATGGAAAAGAAGTTGATGGCATGGGCTGATACGAGAATGCCCGCTTACAGAAAGGACTTGGAAGCAAAACGTGAAGAGTTTATGAAGAACTTATCTCTGGATGAGGAAGAGTCGCTATTAGATGTTTTGTAAAGATATATGGATAGATGGTAATGAATAAATAATAAGGTCAACTGCCTCTTTAGACGTGTATCAAAGTCGTAACATCTCAAAATGCGACAAGAGTCAACAGAAAAAAGAAAAAAAAAACCTCCACGTAACAACTGAAAATAAAAAAAACAAAAAATAAAAAAAATAAAAAGGTGAAAATTGATAACTGAACAATCAACGATTTTAATCAGCCAACTATAAATCAGTTACTATGGCAGCCGAAGGTGTTGAAAAACTTACAGAAGTCCCACTCGAATTCTTCAAGGATGGATCGGCGTTCATCAAGAAATGTCAAAAGCCAGACCAGAAGGAATACTTTAAGATTATTAGAGCCGTTGGTATTGGTTTCATCATGATGGGTGTTGTTGGATACGCTGTCAAATTGGTCCATATTCCAATTAGATACTTGATCGTGTAAAGGGGAGATGTTAGCGATGAGATAAGATGGGATGGGATGGGATGGGATGGTGGTGGTGGTGGCAGCGATTCATTCGGTTCATGATGCTACATTGGTCGAAGATTGTGGCGTGAGGAGACGAATGGATCAACTACCTTTGTTTAGAGGAACTTTTGCTATCCTACTGTATAAAATCTTTGAATACGATATTCATTTGTGAATGATGTATTGACCTTGGCATGTGCCCTACATGTAGCTGTTGTCTTGGATAACACTTTGTGTTTAGAGTTTCATTGGTTCATTAATAATTGAGATATGAATGGGGAAGCTGACTCAATGCTAGCATAATACCGGGCAGCCTCAATCTCTGACGCAGCTCTCGTCTTTCTCTTGTCCCTTTCTTGTCTTGTGGTCTGGTTTTAAAACTGCTTGCTAGGTGAGTGTCGCGAAATGTACTTGTACTTTTTCGACACACCAAAGTTAATCTCATCTCAGCACTATATGAAAAATTAATTTTCATAAATGTAGAGCTTCCCAAACCAACACAAATTGAGAACAGCAGAAGCCAGCTTACATCCCGTATCATGTCACAAGCTTCGAACTTTGTCAAGAAGTTAGCATCCAACGACAAACCAACAAGGGACGCCGCACTCGAGTCCCTCAAGAAATTTCTCATTTCCAAATCAGCATCATCATCATCATCATCAAAAACAAAAACATTCACGATTTCATTACTCGATGCTGAAAAATTATGGAAAGGGTTGTACTACTCCATGTGGTTCTGCGATAGACCAAAAGCTCAAGAACGGCTAGCTGAAAACTTGGGCAGATTGTACTCGGAAAACATCAAATCCGATGACGTATTTCTCCGATTTGTTGAAGCATTCAACTTAATCATGACTAAACAATGGAGTGATATTGACCAGTGGAGAATCGACAAGTACTATTTGCTAATTAGGCGGGTGTTGAGACATAATTTCAAGTACTTGAAGCTGCATGATTGGGATGAACCCTTGGTGCGCGATTGGGTTGATGTAATGAGTCGAACTTTGTTGAGTGGTGATGCTAAAGTGCCTGTTGCTTTGCCGTATCATTTATGTGATATTTACTTGGATGAGCTTCAATTGGTTATGTTTGAAGAGTTGGCGGAGGAAGAAGCGGAGTTGGATAAAGAAGATCCCAAGTATTTGCAAAAATATGAGACATTGTTGAGACAAAAGATTGCTATTGTTGAAGGTGTGCCGGTGTTGAAACTAATAGAGCCGTTTCTGGTTTTGAATAAGGAGGCGAAGTTGAAACCTTTGAGGGAGAAGTGTAAGGAAGATGTGTTGGATGATGAGCGATTGGTGGATTGGGCTGTTGTTGGTGATGATAGTGATTCCGACGTGGACGGTGAGGGAGATAATGGATCTGCTGAGCAAGATGATGAAGAGGAAGAGGAGGAAGAGTGGAAAGGATTTTAGCCTGTGTTTAGTAGATACAATCTGATTAATAAATGTTGCAAAAGTGCAATTTGGCGTTTAAAATCTGCACAAAGTCGTGTATAACCTAATTTTCATTCAGGACGTTATGTTGTAGATGAAACAGCATCTCTCAATTTCTATTTCATTCCCACCCCAAATGTCAAAACAAAACAAAGAGACGAACAAGTACATACCAAAGTTCATAATCTCTAAACCATGGTACAATGAAAATGAGAGTGGAAACACTGAAACAACGCAAGAGAACACCGACTATCTTTCACATCAACGAAAAACATCAGAGATTATTGACCATAGTATACCTCTAGTAGGTCAAGGAATCAAAGATGAACGGGAAAACGGGATAAGAAATGCCTCCAATAATGAGAATTACGATACGAAAAGGGATCGATGGTTTGGTTACTCTACTGAAGAATGGCTCGAAAAAGTCAAGAACTGGAATGAGAAAAATGATGTACAAGTCAACTCGACTAATAATGAGGGTGAAGATTCAGACGATACTGATTACGAATTAGAGTTGAATGAATTGGGATTAGATGGGAAAGACATTATGCAAAATATCAAAGAGGATCCAATGGAGAAGATGTTGCGTGACCGCCAAGATGTTCCCGCGTATATCCATAATATCAATTCACGATCAGATGCCAAAATACGTATTGAATATGATCCCAAGTCTCGTTTGGCCAAAGACCCAACCAAGGGAATATTAAATGATAAAAACCAGTTTGTTAAGAAATTGGAGGGTGATGCGAAAGATTTGAAGAAATTGCAAACTTTTGCTTGGGATTTGAACAAAAAGAATGAACAACAAAGGCAGATGGCTCAGGTTGCTAATGCTGGTGTTGGTGATGCCAATGCCAATGCCAATGCTAATGCTAATGTGACGGATGTGAATGATCCTCTTGAAGCTAATCCAACCTTGATGCTGATAAAGGAACGAGAACAAAAGGAGGCTGCAAAACAAAAGTCAATTGCCAAACGAAGGAAGCTTCTTGATATGTATGGTGGGAGTTGAAAGTGTAAGTGCAGAGAAGGGTGTGGGTGGAGTGGGTTGTTGTTACCCACCTATAACGTGACCAACATTGCACATATTTTCCATCTCAGAAATTCGCTGTCTACGGCATAACCCACTTTTCCCATGTTTTCAATCGAATATACTCATTGCCTTCGAGCACTTCTAAAAGTGGGAGTTCTTTCGCTGCTCCAGTAACCATCTCGGCATATTTCCCATTATGTGTCAACACTTTGATTTTATTAAACTCGAGCAATTTTTTTACCTTTAGTTTACCATCAGTTTTATCAAATAGAGACCTCAAGTAGGTATCTTTGCAAAGATTTTCGGTTGAGAAATAGTATTGCAACTGTTTCTTGATATTTTTTTTGAGGGTGTCTCTTTTGCTTTCAAGCGGAACCATTGGTGTGCAAGGTGTATATGGCGTCGGTATTGGTATTGGTAATTGTGGCAGCAGGTGCTGAAGTGGCAAATGCAGGTACACGGGCATTCCAAACACTACCATTGGCTGCTGTGGTGGAAACATACCAGGTGATTGTGGAAATAAAGAGGAGTTTGGTGATGGAATGAGTATGGGAGAGGGAATAGATGCTGGATCCGTTGACATGTATGGATGATCTTCGGCACAGTGGGAAAAGAAGGCCATGTCTGGTTTTAAAGGGTAAAATGTTGTTGGTAGTGTAGTGGTTGATAATGCAGCAGTACTAGTGGTGGTGGTGGTGGTGGTGATGGTGGTGGTAGTGGCTGCCTCTTCTGCCCCTGGTTCTGTCGACCTCAAATCTGGTTGTGACATTGAAATGGGCTGCTTGGTGTGCCTGTCTGTAACCTTATACTTGAGCAAGTTTGTTCCACCTTTGATATCCCATGATCTAGGAAGAGTTGGCTTTTTAACTTTGACTCTGTTTCCAACGTTTACTAATTTGGTTGGTTTATTTGTTATTCTTGCAGCCATTTTCGGTTGCAGTAATTCAACAACTGATGATGCATCTGAAAGTGGTGCAACCCTGGCACTGGTCTGAATTACTGATGGAGATTCCAAATGTAGATTCAGTGGGCCTGCAGGCTCTGTATTTTGTTTGCAAATTGGTGCATCGGTGGTGGTTGCTGCTACTATGTTGTCTTGTGGTTTGGACAATACCAATGTATTGAAATCCCAAGCATTTGTTGTTGGAGGGGGAGCTGGTGTCAATCGTCTTATATTTGACATTTGAGGTACAGTAGTAGTGGCTGTGTATATTGGTAAGTGAATAATTAGCAGAAGATTATGGTGGTGTTGTACTATGGTACTGCTGCCAAAAGTAGACTTTAGTCTTTTGGTTGTAAAGAGAGAAAAAACATATACAAGAGACCCCAGAAAGCTCGATCTTTTCGTTTCACTTCTAGAGATAAAATCTGTAGAGAAAGGTCTATGGTAACAGCTAGCAAGACTCTGCTATTTTGATAGACATACTGTAGAAGACAAGCAAGAATAAGATTATCTCTATTCAAGATAAGCAGACACAAAGAGCTGCTTGTTTTCACAGCACCGTGGCAAAACAGACCATCTTCATCTACTACAACAGAGCCTATCCTCCAAGAGTGGTGATTAGAGCCTAAGAATTAGGCATGCTACTGACTCCAATCAGAGTGTAGTGTATTTTTTTTTGTTTTGTTTTGTTTGGTGTTGGAAGACCCAAATAATTTATCTATTGTTGTTTGTGTAGTTAAAGGTTAAGTGTCTTGTGAGTGAAAATTGATTAAACTGTGGGGAGAATGTGGATATTGCCCCGAAATGAAAGGCAGAGAGATAATAAATGAGCCAGCTATTAGTCTATTGAATAGGAAGATCCTGTTTTGTAATATCTATCCAGAATACTATGCATTGAAAGATGGAGAAACTTTCCTTGTGCTGACAGAATGAAGAAAGAAAGAAGCCCACATGGCCCACATGCCCCCCCCCTCTGCACCCAAATTACACAAACAATAAAGATTTGCATTGTGTTGATTTAATTTATTTTTTACTTTTTTTTTTTTTTTCTTTTTGAGTTTTTAGTCACACGACATCATATAAATCAACTAAATATACTACGTATTGGCTATAATACTATCGATTCCGTAACTGTGTAGTACATTCAGCAACTGTGTATAAATCTTGGTGACTAACATGGTTGCTTCTCCAACCTCCTAGAAGAGTAAGCAATCTTTATGGAAAATGATGGCTCAATTTATTGTCTTTTGAATGGCTTGCACTGCTGGGAGTCAAATAAAGTCTTTTTCTGTGCATTAAAGGAAGGTTTTGCAGATAAGTTTCTTCAATGGAATGCCACGTCCCTCCCATCTTTGACTTTGTACATTGCTGATGATTCTTTGATATGGGCTTAGACTTCTCAATGCACAAGCGCCAAAACATTTAGCTTTCATTTTTTTTTTGTTTTTGTCTGTTATACTTTCATTATGGAAAAGGATCATTTGACACACGTTGCAATACAACAATCTGTATCCTGACTCTATATCTCCACATGTAAGCAGATCTAATGTGTTATCAAGCTGTACAGGAGATATATATTACCTAGCCTTGCGCTCTGACCGCCTTGACTTACAGCGTTTGCTATCGTATATTGTATTTTATCAATGCTCACGTGTACCCATATTTTCTGAAGGCCGGGGGGGGGGGCGTGTGCCTTTCTATTTTTACCTTTTTTTTTCTTCTTTCTGTTTGTTTATATGCAGGATGCTGTACAATTTCTCTGTTACACAAACCAAATGTATTATTGTACTACGACATTTCCAATTTCAACCCTCGTGGGACCTTTAAAATAAAACTAATCAGTATTATGGATATATATATATATATATATATCTATGTCCTTTCCTTTAAACTCACATTTGACTGTTTCATCTCGTTTTAGATGATTTCTAGCCTAAACTTCAACAACATTATCCCACTCATAAGCCACATCATCACATTCTTTGAATTACATCACTAAAGCATAAAAACTTCTTCTTCTTCTTTACTTTGTGAAACGTTTTACCATAGATTTTTGCAACTTACATTTAACTCACGCCATTTGACAAAATGAGTTTCCCTGCTCCGCCCGTATTGAAAACAACTATCATCCAATTGAATAAAAAGCCAGAAGCTGAGGGTCTGGACAAAAATTATGAAATATTGACAAACACCTACAGCAACATTCTGTCGAGTGAAAATAATACCAAGAGCCCCATTGGTGGCACCAGTGATGACTCAGCCCCAACATCGCCAAATTTGGAAGCTTTAGGGCCCAGCAAGAAAAAGAGAAGGAGATCAACTGCAAACATTGATTCAGAAGAGTTGGCCAAACGGAAACACGAAACAAAGCAACTTCATTCTATTATTGAAAAGAGGAGGAGAATAAAGATTAACCGTGAATTTGAAGCTTTGAAATACTTGATCCCTGCTTGTAGGAATTTCAATGGCTCTACACCAGACGCAAACTCTTCGTCTCCACTGAAAAGAGCCTCAAATGCAGGAAGCAGTAGTAGTGGCAGTGGAAACGGTAACAAAATCGATGGCATGTACAAATTGACAATATTGAAAAGCTCAGTCGAATACATTTTGTATCTACATCACGTTATTCAAAAGCAACAGGAAGTCATAAGAAGTGGTTCAGACTCAAAGTCTGCCACTGATTTCAACATTGATTTTGCTAAAGTGCCACTCGATGTCAATCAGTATAGAAATATCGATGTTGACTTTAATTTTAAAACCTTGTTGAATGATGTGGAGGGTGCTGGAGGTTTGGCAACACGTAATCATGCAGATTCTTCTGAAACAAAATTGAACAGATCTAGTTGGATACCGAACCACAACAGAATCATAGAAGAAGAAGAAGAAGAAGGGGAAGAAGAGGCGGAGGTGGAGGTGGAGGTGGAAAAGCAAGAGGATGCTCATAATTCAAGACAAAGCAGCGACGGTGACGATAATGACATCAGTAGTCGATCCTCAAGTGTTGCCCCATCGCTTTCCTCAGTACCTTCACAAATGTCCATATCATCCTCTTCAAACAAACTTCTGCTTCCAACACCCGAATTCACCCCGGACATGGCACCAATATTCACCATTCTCAACAAATACGCAGACACAAACATGGACAGGAAAAGTCGAAAAGGATCTTACCCAATTTCTCCTCAAACTTTTGCAATACGGTCTGCCAATCCTTCCCCATTCACCAATCCTTTGAAGTCAACATTATCCAACTCTTCATCCCCTAGTATGCGCAACTATATCAACAAAACTAATTTTGATAATGCTGCCAAGGGTCATGCTTTCGCCTTGCCTGATCCTGCTATAAATCCTACAAACTCAATGCCGAGGGATCGCTTAAAGGGTGAAGGAGCTGTTGTTGTTGGGGGTGCTACATCAAAACCTCAGTCTTTGTCGTCATCAGAGGGGGATAGAGACGAAGAAATGGGTGTACAAGATGAAGAGGAACTCAATGATCAATGTGCTTCGAAAACGTTGTTGGCTTTGAGGAAATCAAGTATTGGGAACTTGTTAAATTAATGTGCTATTCTTTGTAGCAAATTGTGTTTATTTATTTCTTTCGTCTTGTGTATGACTATTCCAGTGTATGAAAGTGTGCTGAATTTATCACTTTCTCTCTGTGACTGTTTCGAAAATCGACACCGTTATATCAAGCTATTATCTGATAAATACTCTACATACTCGTCCACCTTGCTTGGCCACGCAGCCATCTCGTCGTAATTTGAAAGCTTGTAAGGATCGGGGAGAACCACCTCCAAAAAGAATAAATAAAACATTGACCACGTATCGAAAGTTATAACTGGTCGCGGGTTGCTATTGGACAAGAAATCAAACCAATTATTAACCCGTTCTTCAACCTTGTCTTTGTTTCCATTTGCGGGTGTTTCATTTTTGGTGAAATAAACAGTGGTTATCAAAGGTAGCAACAATTTCCAATACGATATTGTCAAGTCGATATCCAACACTTTTTGATTATCAGATTCCTTCAAAAAGGCAAACGTATAATCGTACAATTGTTTGAAATCTACGGCTTTATCTGTGTCTAAATCAGTGTAACTTCCTTTGTCATACAATACATCCTGGTGGAACTTGTCTAAAAACTTGCGCATGGATTTAATATCATGGATCTTGTAATGTTGCCAAATGGAGATAAACTTGTCTCGCTCAAAAACACCAACCAGGGGCGACTTTAGTAGAAATGCCAACGTTAGAGCTTTGACATCATCTGGATCAATCTGCAAATCGTCAAGGTATTTCAACGTACCGTCAATATCAATCACATTGGGATTATTTGCATCTTTGTATTCATCAAATAGTGAAACCAAGTGCTTGTCGGTGTTGGAGGAAGCGGATTTCCCATTAGATTTAGAGTTGGGACTAGATTTGGACGCGTGCTTGGTGAAGTATGAGTCGACGGCTTGGTCTATGTTATACTTGCTCGCTTCCAAGTACCGTCCTGCTGTTGTAGTTGATGTGCCTGTCAATTCGCAAAATTGATTCTTTAAAGCCGACTTGTTTACCTGTGATAGGAGGGGGGGTTAGTATTTCGTCTTGGGTATGCTTTATGTGGCTGGGTCTTGTATCGTACCATCTTATCTACAGTGCTGGGAGAGGCTTGGAATGAGGCCCTCTTTGTCCTGAGCCTCTGTGTGTTCTTTTCTCATCAAGGTTTTTCAAAGTGAGGAAACTACGAGGAGACAGAAAAAAACAACCACACACAATCCAAACAAAAACTTGGAAAATTCCAATTAACTCGGTCACAACCCATAACACGAGCATGTTGATATGAATGATGGTGCACATGTATTGTCTCTGGATCAGATCCGCGACGTCATTGGATTCCCCTCGCTTGACGACTTGTCAAGCTCACCTTCGGACATAGACAATGATATACAGATACTACTTGACTGGATCCTGCCAATCATACCGGAAAAGAGTCTAGAGTTGTGCTTCAGGTCTGGCCTGTTACTGCAGAGAAATATCAATGACGCCACCACCGGCACTGCCACTTCCACATTTGCGACCCCTGCAACTGGCCCATTGCTGCAACAAGATGAGTCTGTTGATCCGAAATTCTTGTTGCCAAAATATGTTGATCCCTCACCTAGAGTCAAATTGGCTGTGAAAAGCTGTTTCAAAAATGAATCTGATCAATTGAAATTTATCGATCTATATGTCAACTCAGTGAATACCAAATTGAAAGCGTTGCCACTCTCTGTTGCTTCCCATCGTTTATTTATGGAATACATCAACATGATCAAGTTGATGAAGCATCAATTTGAGACACATGTTGACAATTTCAATCTTTCCAGCCGAATAAACTTGGCATTCACCACAAAGTACAATTCTGTTTTGACTTCCTTTTTGTTTGATAATACTGCTTTCCGAGACGAATTGAGCAATTTTTTTGAAAAATCGTTATTCAGCGAAGCGACTTTGTCAACGCCACTTTCTTCTTCGATTACTTTGAATGTAATTGATATTATTTCAACTTTGGTATCGGTGGGCCTATCAGGATGTTTGAATGAGATCCTTGTTGTGTTGTCCATTGACAAAATAAAGGCTTATACTGAGCAGATATGCAGGGGAGTTTGGGACAAGCCATTATTGACATCTATTGAATCGTTTATTCAAAACGACATATATCCAAACTTTTCCATCATTGTAAGCTACACCACCCTGTCGAACTTGACTGACACGATGAATAATGTCTACTTGTACGAATTGATGAAGATTGCTCACATGGAGTTGATTTCGTTGCGGATTGAAGAGATTTACTCATTGGTTTTGGACTACCCACGTAGTGAGACTGCACTTAATGAACTCCATACTTGTTTGCTGAAGAGCAAAATTGAACAAAGTGACGTGACGATGAACTCATCGGGGATTTTCTCATACATGGGTGATATCTCACTACTAGCGCAGGCGGAAAAGAGATCTGAATTGGTGAATCGGTTTATTCTATATTGTGACGACAATTTGCTCCATGCGGGCGCAAATACAATCGATGTGATCACCTCCTATATCAAGACCATCAAGGCGTTTTTATTGATTGATCCCAAGGGCGTGCTTCTTGACAAAGTAGTGAGACCAATTCGTGGATACTTGAAGACTAGGGATGATGTCATTGTGAAGTTAGTTCATGGGATGTTGGACATGTCTGAGTCAAACAAGTTGCGTGATTTGGCATTGGAGTTGAATTCGACTGAGAAATACGATGCTGCGGTGCAAATTAAAGACGGCATTGAAGATTCGTTGGATTTAAATTGGGTGCCTGATCCGATTGATGCGTTGCCTGATTTCAAGAGGGAGAGAGTGAGCGATACCATTGAGTCATTATTGTCGATTTTCGAATCAAAGGAGGTTTTCATTGAGGAGTTTACGAAATTGTTTGGACATCAATTGATTGAATCGACGAATTTTGATGTTTCCAGTATTGAAACAAAATTGAACTTGTTAAAATCGCGATTTGGAAAGGATAATTTTACGACTTTGGATATTATGCTTCGTGATTTCAATGCAAGCAAGCACTTGAATACTAGAGGAGGTCGCAATGTTGCCGTATTGTCGCATTTGTACTGGGACTCTGTGTTGGATCAATTAGACGAGGAGAAAAACACGTTTAAATTGCCACCAAATGTTCAACTGGATTTCACGAATTTTGAACAACACTATAATACACACCATCGGGGCAGGTACTTGAAACTTGTGCCGAGCTTGGGCAGTGTGAGACTTCGACTTGATTTGGGTGATCAAGTAAGTGAATATGAAGTGAGCACGGATAAAGCGGCCATCATTTCTCTCTTTGGTGATGTTGATCATGATCTCGATGTTGATGATATTTCCAAAACGTTGAATATGCCCTTATCCATGGTCAAAGATGGGTTATCATTCTGGATTGAGCAAGGTGTTATTTGCGAATTGAGTAAGAAAAGGTATATTGCTATTGATGCCATGAATTCGTCAGATGGCAAGTATTCCAAATCGCAATTTGGTGATTTAGAAGTTATTGAGCCGTATGTGATTCGGATGTTGCTGAATATAACTGCACTCAATTTTCAAAGAATGAAGTCTTTGCTTAAAATGATGGTTCCCAAGGATGAAATCGACATTGGTGTCGTAGATGATACCTTGTTGAAATCTTATTTGGATCACTTGGTTGAAATTTCAAAGATTGCATTTCTTGGTGAAAACTACAGCTTGAAGAAAAATACATAAATGCATAGAGGTTCATTTCTGCTGAAATGCATAATGATATTGTAGTGTAAATTGGTAACAGTTTCTTTTGTTAACGATATCAATTTCTTATCCTTTGACAGCAATCAAAAGTCATCTGACAAGAAGAAGGAGAGAATTAT